AAATACACTTAATTATAGGTGTGGCCAGGAACAGCTCCTATTATTAAGGTTGCCAACACTTCCCCTCTCAAGACCCTGTTTTCACTTGCTTATAACTTTGTCAAAGTTTCACCACTGGAGCAGAAATTTTCCATATAAAGTGATTGTCTCAGCTGGAATTGGGCACATTTATTTAGTTCTTTTTGAAAATGTAGACCCACCACTGTTTTTTCTGGGCTAGACTATGTATATATATAGCCCAGGGGACAAAACTGTGAAACTTCTGGGCTTTCAAGCAAGGGTTTGGCCTAGGGCAGGACATCAGTTTTTGTGTCATGGAGGCTGTGTTTTGCCAACTCCGTGAAACATTACTGTTCTCTCCCACCAGCACGGACAAATTACATGGTTTTGTTAAACACAGAAAGAAGACTTGTCACAGCTTCACAGCTACAAACTCGTCAAGCTTTGCTAACCTGCCCAACCCTTTTGGTTTCTGAGGTGTCATGACAGCATATGGGCTTTCCCAGGGTGGAGCACTGCAGGGGGAAGCTGGGAGGGCTCTCCCTTCCAGAGCTGCTGTTATGCGTCATGCAATGTTTGCATCTCCCAATGCTTTCCTCTGCCCTGTGCTTCTAGCCACCTCTCTTTTGCCTTCTGGTGGATAAAAGTCCCTGATTTGAATACAGAAGGAATGAAACACCAGGGAGAGAACCAAAAATCTGGGGAACAGAAAATGGAACTGGGAGGCAGATGAGACCATGAGCTGCAGGGAAGTGGTGGTTTGGGAAAGGGGCTACTGCCATGTTACAGCCATATCAGCTTGTGTTTCTGGGACTGAAGACTTCTCCAGCATCCAAATAAGGGTATTTTCCCAAGTCTTCCTCACAACTCTTATTGTTCCTGCAGTGTTACCCCAAATGCCACCCGACAGCCCATGTCAACTCTTGCTACTCCTGCTCCTGTTGAGGACAACAGGCAATTGCTGCTTGCTGTTATATCAGAATACACATTTCTCATCACTGAGAAATGTCAGCACCAAGGCTGGCTGTACAGCTGCCCTTCAATGTCCTCGTGCATATGAATTACGGTCAAGTCTTTAATTATGTGGCTACAGATTTATTTTCCACAGGACACCTGCAGCACACAGGTAGATGGTGTTCTGGATGAGTCTGGGCTGTGTCAGGAAGAAGGCTCTTTGCAGGGATTCAGCATCATCTCTTCTTTCTGTTCTTGTGTTGTTTTATTTTGGTTTTTTTTTTCCCCCCAAAAGTGTGAAGAGAAAAGAATGACTCATTGCTGAGGCAGTTGTGTGCTGGCCTGGATCCTTGCCCTTGCTGCGGATTTCCTACCTGATGCTGAGCTAGTCACTCACAGCAATCTTTTCAGAGGTAGCTATTAGCTATGTTTTATTTATTTTGGCATTTTGCTTTGTTTTTAGCCTTGCGCTATCCTAGGATCCTGATGTCTCATTTGCAGGAGTATTTATTGCTCCCTGCTGCATGTGAAGGGGGACATGCACCTGGCTCCAGAAAACGCTTTAAACTGCAGAGCGCTCTGGTAAAGTGCTCAGATCAGCATCCCCACCTTGCAGGCTGCATTTGACCTTCCCTCCAGGAATGCTGGATCTTCTCTAAAATGCTGCTGTATTGCTCAGTATGAGTATTGAAAAGGCAAATCTATTATTATTTGTAAAGTACTGAGAAACTAGGAGTATGTTGTATGAGAAAGACCCTATGAACATCGATCACTGTTTTTGGAGTGGGGCCTGCACGTTCTGAACGAGCTGTGAGTCAATGCTTTGAAGAACTCTGGCAGCCCTGTTGGACGTGTCACGCCACAGGTACCTTCCTCATCAGGTACCTTTGCTCTTGAATTGCAGGTGGCAATGTGTTTGTTCTCGCTTCTCGTCTCTTACTTTCACTGGCCTTGGAGAAGTGGAACCTCAGCACAGTGTCAAAGTTTCCTCTGTTCTTTCCCTGATTGCTCACACATCCCTAGCACACACAAGTGTCTCTGTGGCAAGCTGACCTTGGTCTTCAAAGCAGTTTGTCCTTCTCCAGAGAGTGGGTGAAATGGGATTCTGCTCTTTGTTGATCAGGCAGAGCTGCCAAATACGACCTGGCAGTTCTCTGAGGTCTGCTGGGTCACTGGAGCTCAGCTTTCCCGTGAGTTTTACTAGGTGCTATGAATATCATACACTGTGACTCTGGAAGGCCACCCACCCAGCCGTGACACTGTGAATAAACAGCACAGCTCTAGGCCTTCTTTCCTTTCCTACCTGAGGAATAACATCATGGGCAGTGGAGAGGCTGGACTGGCTGGGTGCCCAGTGTAGCCCCCTTGGATACACCAGCCCACAAGATTCTGTTCAAGATATGTTCCTGTGGGTTCCCTCTACAGAGTTGCAATGAGGGCACTGGGGACAGCCCAAGGACCTTTGCATGTGACAAAGCAGCCAAATCTTAGTAGCCCATCTTCTGCTTGCCTGCCTTCAGCAGCAGCACTCCCTGTAGCACCTAGGGGTGCCTTGACCACGTCCAAATCCTGTGAAAGGTAGACACGAGGTGTCCCAGGTGCAGGGCCCCGGTTGCTGAGCTGAGGGTCTTGGGCTCCCTTCCACGCTCTTGCACCCAAAGATCCCTTCCAGGCAAACCAGGCAGACAGGACCAGGTGAGGCCTCCTGAGCCTCATCTGGGCATGTTGTTTTGAATGTGTGAGCTGTGTCTCACCGCTGGCTCTGGGAGGTTAGACAGCCTTCCAGGTGCTGTTGTCTGAACAGAGTCTTAGTGTACCTTGGTTGGTGCCCAATACAATGCTAACCTGAGGGGGGTTTCCTCTTTGGAGAGGTGCACAGAGGAAAAAAGGTACTGCAGCCACCCACCACTTTGATCACTGGCAGGAAAGGAGATGGCCCAGCAGAGTTTGTGATCATGGATTCTGCTTGTCCCTCAAATTTATTACCTCCTCAACCCAGCCCTGGCTGGCCTCTCTCTAGTTGGGATCCTGCTGTTTGTATCATATGTAACAACTTCCTTTTTCAGACACTGGGGCAGAAGTTACCTGTTGCACTGCTGGAGCAATGACATCCCTGATGGAGACAGGGTCCCTGCAGTGCTGGCTGCTACATGCATAGCAAAATCAGCAGCCCCTGGCCCAGGCTCCCTAATAAAAATTACTCCATAAGTAGAGGTGTAACTAGGCAATGCTTGGAGAGAGGTGGGTGTTAATAGATCACATGGCTAGCCAGCACTAAAAGCTTGATTACAATTCAATTAAGGGAATGTTTCTAATTAAAGAGTTCTTATTTTAAGCTGTCAATGATTAAAATAAAGGTAGCTGAAGTGTCCGTACACACTCCAATTCCATCCCCAAGGGCTGCATCTAGGTTGGGGATTTCTTCAAATTCCCTCCCACCGCCTCAGTCAGCAACAGGGGGAGAGTTGGTATGGCCACTGTCCTCCCGGACCTTGCACCTGCCGGCTGAGCAGTGTCACCCCAAACTCTGCTCCCACGAGGCATGCTGAGAGCTGCTTCTCCTGGATGCTGATTCAGATCCACCCTCCCCAGCTCGGTACCAGAGCCCATCTCTCAGTGCCTGTGTCAGCCTGCCACTTGCAGCAAAGTCACGAGCGATGCTGGGCTTTGGCAAATCCCTTCTCTGCTGATGAACACCCACCCAGGGAAGGAAAACAAGAGAGCAACCCTCGGCTGGATCCAGCAGTGGCTGCATACTATTACCTGCCTTCCCATCTGCTCACTGTTACATAAGCTGTGAAAAAACAGAGGCTCAATGGAGCATGTATAAGGAAATGTCATTACTACGAAAAACTCAATTAAATTTTAAATTCTCCAAGTTCAGGCAAAGTTCTGCAATAAAGTAGGCCCAGCAGTGGGAGAGGGAAGCAGTGCTGGTTCCCAAAGGCTTTTATGAAAGAGGAACAATTCCCCAGGTCTCAGTGGACTGTCAAGTCAGTGCAGGCACTGGCTGGCAGTGGCATTCAGAAGGCTGCAGCCCCCCATCTTGGTACAACTTGGAGCAATGACTGCTCTCTGCAGCACACTGTGCCAGCACGGCCGCAGCTTGGGCCTCTTGGTGCCGACAGCCTGTGCTTACATCGTGTATTTGGAAGCTGACCTAAGGGGCCTGGCTTAGAAGCACCTAAGGGCTCTTCTGGTATGGAGGCTCCTAACCTCTTCCCCAGCATATTTATCTCTGGCTGCAGGAACTGGGGTTCTTGGCTTTGGGATGCCTGTGCCAGAGCAGCTCCCAGACCCTGGTAAAGCATCCCAGTGCCTCCAAAGCTGGGCAGCATCTGGCTCTTGCTCCACAGGACCCTCTGTCCCTTCCAGCTCACATACACTGGCCTCCAGCCCTTCCTGCAGCCCTGCTCCCAGAGCTCTCAACAGCACCACATCCAGCCCCCATCCACCAGAAGCCCCCAAATAATTCCCCAGCCTGGGCTCTGCTCCTGTACCCCCAAATAGATCTGATACATCCTGGCTGCTCCCCCTGGCCCAGCTGGCTTTCGGAGGTGTCTGGGACTTGCTGTGCCCACCTGGCCTACAAACACCCCAGGATTAGCCCCAGCTTTGCACCCGTCTGTTGGTGAACACCTCATGGAGCTGTCTGTCTGTCTACATTAGGGTGCGTGCTTCCTTATTTGTGTGCGTTTGCAGGTGCTTCACGCGAGGGGCAGCCCCACTCCTGAGGGGCCTGGGCTGATGAGCCCTGAACACTGTGGGGCCTTGCTGATGGGCCCCGCTTGACATCGGCTGCCAGCGCCACGGGACCCAGCAGCCTCGCTCGATCACCCCCATGCCGGGGGCTGCGCTCCACTCTGAGGAGAAACCTTTAGGGGGGTCGCGGCCCCCCCAAACCGAGCCCGTGTGTGCCTGCCCCGCTCGCCGGAGCTGAGGGACGGCGGCTGGGAAGGCGTCGGGAGCGGCGGCGGTTGCGCCTTTAACGGCGGGCGGAGGAGGAGGCGGAGGAGGAGGAGGGCCGGGGCTGCGTTGGGTGACATCAGTGGGTTTGGCTCCGGAGCTCAATGGAAACTGGGTGAGCGCCGGGCTGTGCCGAGCACACGCCGGCTGGAGAGGACGGCGAGCGGGCGGGAGGCGGCAGGCAGCGCCGCGCCGCGCCGAGCCGAGCGAAGGAGGGACGCGCCGGGCACGGCCGCCACCAGCCCTCCCCAATCCTCCGTCATCCTCCCCGCCGCGGCCGCCTGGCCCCCTGACAGCCGGCGGAGCAGCATCCCCACACGGCCCCCTTCCCGTCAGGGTGGGTATGGGGGGCGCCCGCCCTCATCTTGGGGCGCAAACCCCGGGGGAAAGGCGGCCCCTCCGGCTCTTTGTGTGCGCGGAGGGAGGGGGAGGGGGCGGGGGAGGGGAGGGCAGGGCGCGATGCGCCGGGCCGGGGGGGCGCGGGGGACAAAAGCCCCTTTGTGGGGGCGCGGGGAGGGGGTCGCCCCCTCCGCCACCGGCAGATTTTTGGGGGGGGGTCCCCCCTTCTCTCCTTTCTCCGCCTGGCGGGGCCCTGCCTGGCCGCCGGCGGGGCCGGGCGGGGAGGGGGGTGCCGTGTGTTCTCGGCGGGGGTCTGCGGGGGTCCCGGCGGGGGGCCGCCCCCCCGGGGGATTGAGCCCCCCACTCCTTCCGTGCACTGATGCTCCTGGTCTCCCTCCCCGGCCCCCCTCATCGCCGCTTTCGGGGGGAGAAGGGGTGTCTGCGCTTGGGGGACTGTGGGGTCAATGCTTCCTCTTGCGGGGGGCGGTAGGGGCGGGGGTCGATGGCCGAGGCCGGGTGCGAGTGCGGGGACGAGGAGAAGTTCAGCGCCGTTCCCGGGGGTGGCAGCTTTTTGTTACCTACCCGGAAAAATAACAGCCCGGGTACGGCTGTCTTCGCGTAGTGTTTGCCTGTAGGGGGTGGGGGTGTAAGGGACACATTTATTATTATATTTTTTTGTGTGTGCCCCCCTTTTTCTGTTTTCCTGTTGTGGCTATTTCTTCCTCAAATGTAGTTCCAATGCGCTGTGCTTGGGGTTTCTTTTCTCCCCCCATCTTATTTGCTGGTCTCCTTTCTGTAAGTGTCTGAGGGTCTGGAGGGGATTGGTGTTTTGCATTTCAATCAAAATGTATTTTTTCTTTTTTCCTTCACATTTTTAAGCCAGTTCAAATTACTGTTTTCCCAGCCTATCCTTTTTCCCCTTCAAACATCCCCCTCCCAAAAAAAAAAAAAAAAGAAAAAAAAAAGCCGTGTAAAGCCTTAATGGTCTCTGGTAATGGTAGCCCCCACTCCCTACACTTCCACTGAAAGCCGGAGCAGTGCTGGGATCGGCAGCCTCCATTATGCAGCCGTGGGTTTGGTTTTGTATGGCTTTTGCTAGACAGGGCATCTTCTCATTCCCGACCCCCTCGGGTGGGACAGAGGTGTCCCTCCTGTCTCCCAGCCCCTCTTGATGGTCGTGTCCCCCCAGCCTCTCCCCAGATGGTCCCCGCATCGTTGGTAGCCATCGTTGCTGGCACAGCAATGTGATATCAACTCTTATCGTGTGTTTATATAATGGCCTTTGTGCCTGTACGTGGGTATTTTATATTATATAAAAGGGGCTGGTGCAAAATGGTGTGTGTGGGGAAGCAGCGCTGGTGGCTGGATAGTATTATTATTTTTTTGAGGCTGTGTAGTGTTGGATGTTCACGTATGCAAACGCTCATGCAGAGCACACTCTCGCTCTGAGGTTGTATGTGTGTTAATCCCTTATGGAAAACTAAATGGTTTAACTAAATGATTGCCCTGCAGCCCATGGGAATGCTGCCTTGGCTGTGGAGTGCAGGAAGGGTGGCAGGGCTGGGGGGTTAAGGCTGTAGATGGGGGGTGAGAAGGAGGGATGGCTTTTTGAATTCTACATGTATAAATAATACATAGAGGGGTGGTACAAATTTCACATATAAGAATATATATTTTGTGGGTGCAATTTTCTTTCTTGTAACAGTAGACCTGAAGATCAGAAGATAAAGGGCGGAAGCTGTAGATGGTGGTGGGGGTATGTGTGTGAAGTAGAAGCAAATGGGATGGATAGATGTTTGAACTCCTGGAGCAGTTGTTGAGGGGGTGGGATGTGTGTGTCCTGCCCTCTTACCAGGAATCCAGGCTCTTGCTGTCTGGCTGTGCTCAGCCCAGGTTTTCTACTCACACTTGTGTATGTATGTGTGTTGGGGGGGAGATAAGGCAAAATGACAGCTGTGCGAGACCATGATTTTTTTTTACTCCATTATCCTGCTTCCCGCTTCCACCCCCGCGCCCCAGAGCATTTTTTAGATTCCCCTTTGGAGCCTGTTGCTTAATCAGCTACAAGGGCTGCTGTGAGAAACCCTTCTTAACCTGGCTCCTGCCTGTCCCAGAAGGGTGGGTCCGAATTTAGGATTGGGACGGTGGTGTTGCAGAGCAGTCCCTGCTGCATCCCAGTGCGGCGCAGGCCCCACCGGGACCTTTTGCCCAGTCTCTGCCATGTGCTCGGCCCAGCTGGGAGTTGGACTCCAGTGGAAGTGTTTGGGGTTCCCAGGCCTGGCTAAATACTCCATGGAGGAAGGAGGATTGAGAGCTGTCTTCTTGACAGTGGTGTGACGGGTTCCTGGGGACACAGACCTTTGATCGTTTATTGGAGTAGGAGTGTAAGCAAGTCAGATGTATGTTAATGTGGTTATACAGAACAGCAGGCAGCGGATAAAAATCATGTCTGTTTGCTGTGCCCTCACCCAGGTACGCCTGCCTCCTGTTTCAGTTCCCAAGGCTCTGCCTGCATTCCTGGTAGTAAGAAAGTCAGAAATAGCCACAGGGTTTTGTAGACTTCAGATGCACAGAAACCCACATGCATAAGCAAATGCTAGGTGAGGGGAGTCCACCTCTGAGTGTTTTGTGTGTGGTTTCTGGTGACTGGAGCTCTGCTTTCAGGGTTCACAATGTCCCCTGAATGCCTTGATAGGATTATTTCCCTGTACATCTCCGCAGCCCGTCCATTCTTCTTTCTGTAATCCCATCTCCTGGGGCAGGAGAAGCAGCTCTGGGTTTATAGTATGCCCAGAATCCTGTGGCTGGGATTATTTTTTTGTACTTCTGCCTCACAAGGCCATTTCTCCCTTCTTTCCTTCAATGATGCTTCCTTCCCACCAAGCTCCAGCAAGGGAAAGTTCCTCGCTCCCACTTGTGAAAACATGAATCATTCCTCACCTTTCCTGTCCCCAACAGGCTCTGTGTCTGCATTTGGTACGCTAATAATGTGGCATTGCATAAATTAGGACTGTGGCAAATCCCTCTAAAAGGAGACACATTGTCTGTGTCAGGAAGAGATGTGGTTCCTAGAATAAGTTGGTGGCTGTAGAAGAGGCAAGGAAATGGGGGCTGTTAAGATGGGAACTGCTGGAGCTGTGTTTGGCCAAGGTTTTTGCAGCAGAAGTTGAGGTTGGCAGAGAGAACAAAACTGGGGCTGTGGTCCTTCCACCTAGTTGGTTTTCTGTGGAAGGTGAGTAGGCTGACCCTGGGCATGTTGGTGGGGTGTATCAGGTCAAAGGGTTAGCTAATCATCTCAGGTAGGGATGAGGAAAGGCCTGAGCTGCTAAAAACAAACAGCTGGCACACTTAGGTAGGCAGAAGAGTTGGAGAGGCTCAGGTAGACCAAAGGAGGTGGTGATCCCATCAGCCAAAGCATGTGGAGATGAGCAAGTGGTGTTCCTAGCCAGGGTTCAGTTCTTAGCCTGGCAGGGTTCAGTTCAGCCACATGTCTCCTCCCTGTCCCCTGTGCTGGCCCCTGCCTAGCAGAGATGGAGTTGCTTGTTCCTGGCAGTCTGTCTGTCCCTCACAGCCCTTGGGTCCTGTGCTTCACCACCACCGCCGAGGTGTTGGAGTAGGGCTGGGTCAGAGGGAAGCTTCTCACAGGGTTTATTATACCTGACCCTTCTGGTGTCTCACAAGGTCCTTCTGTCCCAGTGCCAGGTACTGTAAGGTACAAGAAGCAGTACCTCTTTATAGTAGTGTGGTGTGATCATGCACTGAAACCTTCTTAGAAGGGGTTTCCTGAACCCCTTCCTAGTTTCTGAGCAAAAAGGTGGGGAAGAGGTTCAGTCATGCTTCATTCTAATAGTGGGAACATGGGAAAAGCATGCTTGAGAGTGTTCTGTTCCTGCAGTGTTTCTTGCTCATGTTGTCCCTGGAAGATCAGGAGATCGGGAGATGTAAAAGCCATGTGAAAAGTGAAGTATTTAAAGATTTAAAACTGCTCAGCCTCTGGGTGAAGTGGGGAGGTCTCTTCTGCAGTCTGACATGATTCACTTCCTGTTTGTGCTCTGACACTGCTCTTTCTGTGCCTCTTTTCTTAGCACGACTGAACCATGGAGCTTCGAGTGGGAAACAAATACCGGCTGGGCCGAAAGATTGGCAGTGGTTCGTAGAAGCCATGTGAAAAGTGAAGTATTTAAAGATTTAAAACTGCTCAGCCTGGGTAAAGTGGGGAGGTCTCTTCTGCAGTCTGACATGATTCACTTCCTGTTTGTGCTCTGACACTGCTCTTTCTGTGCCTCTTTTCTTAGCACGACTGAACCATGGAGCTTCGAGTGGGAAACAAATACCGGCTGGGCCGAAAGATTGGCAGTGGTTCGTTTGGAGACATTTACCTAGGTGAGTGTGAGAGTCTGTCTCAAGGTTGGTTTTCTCAATTGCATAATTGTTTTGGGGTTGTTTTTCTTGCCTGTTGGTATTTGTGGGCACCATGTAAGGTTGGAAGGGGTGGAGAAGAGAAAAAAACTAATGGAATACTGCTAGTGGCTGCTGGCCTTCTCATGGTGAAGAAAGGGGGATGAGCTCAGCTTTGCCTTACCATGTACTGAAGACCCAGTGGTGGCTGATCAGACTGATTTAGATTTGGACTGTTTGGGGCATATTTGTCATACACCCTGTTCCAGCATTCTCACTTCCCTTTCTTGAGCTTGGGTGTGTGTGGGTTTAAACTCTGTTCACAGAGCGTGTGGTGGAAAGGGAGGACATAGCTATTCCTTCAAAGATAGAGGGAATACAGTTTTGGGTAGACTGGTAGTGGAAGAGGTGTCCAGGACCTGTAAGAGTAGGAGGTGTAAAACAGGTCAGAGAACCTGGTCTGGTTGAAGTCCTGGGGCTCAGATCTGTTAGATCTGTAATGGGATTTAGAGTTAATGTCTGGAATGACCTGAGATGGAAGCTCAGTGGACAAAGCCCATGAGGTGCTGGCTTTCCTGTTACCACAGCGGTGACCTGGGTAGAAGTTCTTCCAAGCCAGTGTGCTGATGTGTAGATATGTTCCCTGATGCTTGCCTGCTCGTGTTTTTATTGGCTCAAACCATGTGGGGCCAGAGTGGCGAGACTACCCAGCAGCCTGCTCGATCCCTCCATGAGGGCTGGCATTACCTGTCTCTGGTTCACACCACTACCTGTTCTGCTGTGATCCTGTGGGCCAGCAGAAGGGCTGCCCTCTGCTTTGGTGTCTGCACCCTTTGGGTACTTGCAGGTGGTCATCGTGTGCTCCTTGACTGTTAATTTGTTCAGTTGAGTTGTATTTTGTTTCCCAGCACATCCTCGCTCCTCACTTTTGCTGGTCCTTCAATTTTTCCTAGTTTTTTCATCTGCTGAGCAGCTTGGAGCCAGCACTGCTTTTGAGGTGTGGCATTTCCAGTGCCTGGCAGTGGAGGACTACCCTCGAGTGATCTGTAATGTGATGCCTCTGCATAGGCCGCTTTGGGTCTCCTTGGCTTTCCCCATCACCAGCGCTATCAGGTTACAGAATTGGCCTTAATGCACTGTCAGCTGTATCGTAGGAGAGCTCTTCTAGGATCTCCAGCATCTTCCCATCCCTCCCCAAATCCCTTTCATTGAATACCTCTAGTTCAGATTACATTTTCCTGTGACTGTAAATCACCATCTATTTTCAACCTCTGGTTTTTATCTCCAGTTCCCTCTTGCTTTATTATTCTCTCTTGATTGGTGTTGGCAGCCCCTCTTGATTAAGTGTCCTGTGGGAATCATCAGTAACAGGCTTTGTTGCCACCTTTATCCAGAACATGAACAAAGATGATGAATAATGGATCTGGGATCCCAGTTCCACTGTGTGCTGCCTTTACTGCAGCCTGTTCCTGTGTGCTGCTCCTCTGTGGCCCTGCAACCAGTTAGTGCCTTGGGTGACAGTGCTTTTAATTCTCAGGTGCTGGGATTCAGGGGTGATCACTTGGACACAGCATTTTCCACCTATGCTGGGGCTTGAAGCATTCCAGACCCTCTCTAGGACAGTGTAAATTGTCAGGGTCTTGCTAAACATCTGGGGTACATGTGGGGAGAGAAAGGAGGTACTGAATGAAAGGCCTGATCCTGAATTGCTCTGTACCATGTAGCAGGTCATCCACCTGTGCAAATCAGGTATGAAAAATAGCCCCTGTTGAGGGGTTGTGCCTGCCTTGCCTGTCACGAAACAGAGGAAGCCCAGTGCCCCAGTGTGGTGAGCACAGCAGGATTCAACCAAGTTACTTGAATGCAGTATCAAAGCCCTTGTGATGTTCCTTGAGGTGCAAGCCAGCATGTTTTGAAGCAGTGATAGCGAGACTTCATGGAGCCTGGGTGACTCCCCAGCCTGGAGGGATTGGGCATAGTCTGTGGAGCTGCGTCTGGAGGACGCTTGTGCTCATGCTGTGCTCCCACAGCCTGCTCTGCAGACAGAAGGACTCACTCACGAGGCCTTCTCTCCTGCACCAGGTCCACCCCACAGTTCTCTCCTTTGATAATGGTGTGGACACAGAGCAGGGCTTGTGTGCCTCTGAGGGTTAGTAGGGGCTGTATATCCTCAGCTTTTCTCCTTCAGGGTGTTCTACCTTCACCTGCTCTGTAACCAGTGGGTGCTGCGTGCTGTCCTCCTTGGGGTTTGTTTTAGGTTTTCTGTCTGTCAGAAGGAAATTTGGATTTTTGCATGGATGGACACAAAAGATGGACTGTGTTAATCCTCAGCTGGGTCTTGAAGCACATTCCTTCCATGCCCTACTTTGAGGGGTAGGTGTGCTAGGTGGAGTATTCTCCCCCCATTGGTTTGGGAGGATGGGAAATGAGATCAGGCTGCCCGTGGGCCTTGGCTAGCCCATTTGCCTCTAGAAATGCTTGTTCAGAAGAGCAAAACCCAGTTTGCAGAGGAATTGCCGAGATCTTTAGGCCACTGGAGAGGGAGGTGCTTTGTCAGAGGTGCTGGCCAAGAGGCAGGGCAGGGTTGCTGGACATGTAGGAATCGTTTGGCCGGGATGCACACTGGTGGTGGAGAGGAGCTGGGCAGACAAAGCATGCTGGGACCTGAGCTGGCTGGGGACAGTTCCTGGTGGCAGGCTCCTCCCTTGCTGGGAGGGGAGTGCCTTCCCTTTGTTTCCTGGCTTGTTAACTCTCTCTCGCCCTATCTGCCTTCATCCATCTGTTCCCAGCCCTCCATTCTTCCCTCGGCAGGCTGTGGAGAGGGGCACAGGCGGTGGGGAGTGCGGGGCCTCTGCCTGTTGCCCCCGATGCTCAGGGAGGGCGGTGTTTATTGTATCAGACATGCAGTCAGGATTCCACTCTGAAAAGATCCTGTTCAGCCGGTGACATCCTCTGTCCCCGGGGCCCCGTTTCAAAGAGCTTGTGATGAATGAGTTGAATTCGTGCAGCCCCCACAGCGGAGCGAGACTGGGGGAGGATGTTAGGAATTATCCCCCATCCTACATTCAGTCTCTCGAGTGGCTGAAGCTAGCAGACTCTGCTGTGTTTGTCTGAAACACGGTGCTTTCCAGTCTGTAAAGAGAGCACAGAACTGTTGCTTTTGTACTTGTAGCTTTAAAAAAGATGGTGGTCGAAGCATGGAACAAAGGATCAGAAAGACTCCTGCCCTTAAATTCTCTCCTTGCTTGTGGTGGTCTTGATCTAGGTGGATCTCTAGACAAGAAATAGTACAGGGAGCAACTTGTAGACATGGGGAGATTTGGAGAGGGAACAAGCCTAAAGAGTTCAGACAGTGACCCCCTGAGCAAAAAATAGGTCAGATTGGTCCAGAGAAGGACCACAATAATGATTAGAGGGATGAAGCACCTCTGTTATGAGGAAAGTCTGAGAGAATTGAGATTATTCAGCCTTGGAGAAGAGAAGGCTTTGGGGTGACCTAGTTCCAGCCTTCCTTCCCTGAAGGAAGCCTACAAGAAAGACTGGGAGAGACTTTTTGCAAGGGCACATAGTGATAGGACAGGGGAAATGAATTTAAACTGAAGAAGGTTTAGATGAGATATTAAGAAGAAATTCTTTTCTATGAGAGTGGTGAGAGACTGGAAAAGGTACCCCAGCGAAGTTGTGGATGCCCCATCCCTAGAAGTGTTCAAGGCCAGGGTGGATGGGGCTCTCAGCAACCTGGTCTAGTGAAAGGTGTCCCTCATGGCAGGGGTGTTGGAACTAGGTGATCTTTAAGGTCCCTTCCAACCCAAACCATCCTCTACTTGTGCTCTTCTAGGCCACAGGGTTGTTTCTTCTCTAAGTAACACCTGTGTTTGGGCTATGAAGAGTGTGGGGCTGAAGGCCATCTGAGCATTTGAATTGCATAATCACATTTTGAGAAATCTGAGTCTTCTTGATGCCTGCCCCTGCTTTCCCTTTTCCAGCTTTATGTGCCCACAGATACCACTCCCTGCCTGCAGGCAGCCCAGTCATGGATGTATCTCCATGTTTCTGAACACCCAGCGTAATGTGGGGATGAAAACTCATTCGTGTTTCCATCGTTCATGTTCTGGGAATCAGGTTCATTCAAAATGCTAATGCTGCAAAAAGTCAGAGACTCATCATTGCTTGTGTATCAGAAAATGTCTTGGGAGAGGGAAAAGTTCTCCCTGGGGAGCAGACAAGGGAGCTGCTTTAGAGGATTTAGAGAAGTTTTCACAAAGGCAGGGGAAGAGACAAGGGAAGGAAATGCTCATATGTTTTTTGGATGTTCTGGGTGTTTCCATGCTGAATGAGGGCTGGTGGTTGAACACTAATTCAAAAAGTGGAAGGATTCTAGTCCCTTTTCTTACTCTTCTCCTTGCACCACCTGGTGCTTTTAAGAAGGGTCCTCTGGTAGAGTGAAGGGAATGTACAAACTTGTTTTTCAGGCTGCCGTTTTTTAAGTGGAAAATACCAGCATCTTTTCAAAAGTAAGCATTGGACAAATGTTTCTATCTCTCAGGATGGCTTTCCCCCTTTCCCTTCTCCTGGATCCTTCGCTAAAATCTGTATTAAATTAATCCCATTGCTCCTCCTTCCCCTCCCATAGAGCACCCTAAATAATTCCTCTCCCTCCTTAGTGTTTACAGCCTTCAAATATTTGTAGACTGTTGTCATGTCCCATTCTTCCTCCCCACCCTTCTTAGTTGTATCTCTTGTCTATGTTACATATTTAGCTCTTTTAATCTTCCTTAGTAAATCAATCCCTCTAGGCCCCGATCGTTTTTGTTGCTCTCTTACAAATTCCTAGCAGCTTGACTGTCTCAACCCAGCACTGCAGCATCTAGATCATGTGTTTTTGCTAGCAGGCAGCTCTTGGCTAACTTTGTGTACAAGCCAGAACTCTTCAGCTGGAGATGGATCTCTTTTGAATCCATGGGGAGAAGCAATCCAGTTGTGTGAACATTTCCTTTTCCTTCTTTTCTTTGGTCCCTGGCTGTGGAGGAGGTGTGTGAAAGAGGATAAATGAAGAGATTTATCTGCAGCTTGTCCTTGTGGACTCTTAAAGTCTTATCACAGAGTTCAGGAGGAACAAATTAGCCAGACCTACCAAAACTAGCTATGGGATAGCTGCACAACATCACCTTTGACTCCAGCTCATGTTTGGCATGCATGTTCTGGAGTAGTTTATTTTATGACAGTGTTCATAAGCTGCTTGTGATCAGGGTTGCTCTCTGATTTGTGTTTAAGGGCAATTTCTGATAGTTCCAGATATAGGGAAGGGCTTGTCAGAGTGTGTGAAGCAGGCATGGCGGGGGAGGAGAAAAGCAAGTCTTGAGTGTCATTCCCGTGACCCGTGTACAGATATTCCTTCTTTCCATTTTAGGATGATGTGAAACATCTGGAATCCTTTCAGCTAGTACAAGAAAAGGAGCAGCCTGTTCCTTCTTTGACAGTGCACTTTGGGACCAGAGTGCTGGCTTTTGCAGCTGGCAGCTCAGTTGTTGTTAGAGAGAAGCGTGTGGGGTGGTGGTTTAGTGTCATTGCAAAGTATCTAGCAATATCATCAACAAAGGTGTCCAGGCAGCTTAATTCAGGGCTGGATTCTGCTTATTTCTTCATGCTTCTAATTTGTGATATAACAAATGTTTCCGTGTTGGCAAAAGATAAAGGTATTATTAAAACCCTCAGGACAGGCAGAAGCTGGGGATTTAGAAATTGTCTGTTTTGAGCAGGTTAGTACTGTGGAGAAAACAGAGAGAGCTGGCATGTCGGTAATGTCTCCTCCTGAACTAATTGGCTGTGTTGAAATTATCTAACTGAGGTAACCAGTAATTTTTCTGGGGAAGAGATACTCCGTATCACTGCCTGAGGGCTGCTTGGGTTCAGGGGCTAGGTTTAAGATCAGAGGAAGCTACAACTTCTACTCGGTTTAGGTAGTGTTGGTATGTGTAGATTGACCTTCCAAAGTCTGTCACTTTTTGAGATAACAAGGCAGTTCATGTGTAGGATTGTTGTTCTAAACTAACTTCAGGATCAGACCAAGTTTTCCTATTAATGTGCCTCTCTCTGGGCTTACATTTACAAATGGTAGTGCTGGAAACTGTATGAAATTGAAGTGGCTGAATCTCATTTCTGTCATAGAGAATAAATTTCAGGGCAAATCTTAAGGTCTTGGCATCTTTACAGACCTTGTTAGAAGTGTTTAACTTCAGTAGAAGCTTGTGCAATCTTCATTTCACTCTCATTCCTATGCAGGAGCCAATATTGCAACTGGTGAAGAGGTGGCCATCAAACTGGAATGTGTCAAAACCAAGCATCCCCAGCTCCACATTGAAAGCAAGTTCTACAAGATGATGCAGGGAGGAGGTGAGATGGGAAGGAAAGGATGGGGCCGGGGGAGTGGTTGGGGAAGGGGAAATTATTCTGGAAGGCTTTAGAAAAAAAATGATTTGGTGTTACACATGATCTTCCCAGCAGGGGATTTGACATCTATTCTCTCTGTTCCCTGGGCTTAATCTTTTTCTTTCCCCAGTGGGTATCCCCTCCATTAAGTGGTGTGGAGCAGAGGGGGACTACAATGTGATGGTGATGGAACTCTTGGGGCCCAGCCTGGAAGATCTCTTCAACTTCTGTTCCCGCAAATTTAGTCTCAAGACAGTTCTGCTGCTGGCAGACCAGATGGTAAGTTTCCTCTGAAGCATTTGTGCCTACTCTCCTTTTCCATGCCTTTTCCCCCCACACATTCCTCTCCCATTCCCTCTGCTTGAGAACTGCTGTATCTGAGGCTTTCTTAGCACAAGTGGCTGCCAGCTTTCTATTTCTTGATGAAGTTGGGGGCCTGGAACCTAGGCACTGGTGGCATTTCCTTATTTCCATCCCTCTTTCCTTTGCCTGCTGCTTGCCTCATGTTAGTGGTGCACACATAGATACCTTTGCCTGCCTGATGAATTATTGGCACCTATGTTAATTCCACTGCTCATGCCCTGGGTTCACTGTTCATGCCATTAGCTCTTCTGGACAGACCCATTCCTTTCCTGGCCCAGCTAAGTTCAAAAGCTGGCAGCTGTCAATGCTGAAGCTCAAAATTTTAGTCCTTATAGACTTGCTTCCCATCTTTCCTTGTGATGTTAATGGTGGCCTTCCCAGAATGAGGACTGGGCTGGTGTGCAGGGTTAAAGTCCATCTCCAGATCCTGCAGTCCAGAGGGTGTCATTTCGTTGGCTGTCATCACTGATACTCAATGCAAAGTGTCCTTTTCTTGCTCTGAAGGGCCAGTATCTTGGACAGGGCACTATTTTTAACAGATGCAGTTAAAATAAGTTTATTTCTTGCTTGTCTCACTATTTATTTATTTATTTATCTATCTATCCCTCCTCCAGATCAGTCGTATTGAGTACATTCATTCCAAGAACTTCATCCATCGGGATGTGAAGCCAGACAACTTCCTTATGGGCCTTGGCAAAAAGGGCAACCTAGTATACATCATTGATTTTGGTTTGGCCAAGAAGTACCGAGACGCCCGGACCCACCAGCACATCCCTTACCGGGAAAACAAGAATCTGACTGGCACAGCCCGTTACGCCTCTATCAACACCCACCTGGGAATTGGTGAGCCTGCTTGCTGCTGCCTCTCAGTGGGGCTTTCCAGGGGAGCTTGTATGTCCCCAGAAGGAAGGGGTTGGGTTTTTTGCCTTGAGATGGTGAGCAAATAACTTAAATGCTCACCTGTGTTACTTGTGCTGCTGTGGTGGTACTCGGAGCTCCTGAAGACAGAAATCGTCTCCTGATCTCTGTGTGTGCACTGCTCAGTGCAGGGGCCCTGTTGAGCATCAAGGCTGTGACCTCCCTGACTCTGCTCCTGCTAGATCTGCCTTTGCACAATTTTTGCAGGCTGATTAGATGTGTACAGGAGACATTCACAAGCACTGAGCCTTTAGGAATATGTGCAGTTGAAACCTGTCTTTTTGACTCCTGAGTGCCTTCATCAGTGATTATTCTGTAGCTGTCAGAGCTGGAAGATAGAGGCCCGCTGCAGTATAGTGTTACCAGCCACTGAGGATGGGGATGTGCTGGAAAATGTGCAAGAAGTGACATGAGGGGAGGCTTCCAGCTGCCTGGACACCCCTGTTCTGTGACTGAGGAGGCTGTCACGGCCTTAAAAATACAGATGTGTCTGTGAACTGCACTAACCCAGTGAGGCCAGTTCAGGGAAGTAGGGCTCTGCCCTTAATGTGTGTGGTTAGTACTGAAGGGATGAAACTAGGCAGGAAAAGAGTGCTGAGTGCTCAGCCAGGTCTTACACTGGTGATGACCATCATCCCGGGTTTTGTAAAAAACTTGTGCAGGTTGGTACCCACCACGCTTAAACCTCCTGAAGTCACCCAAACTCTTGTCCTGGGAGTCAGCCCCTGGTGGCTGTGAGGAACATAGTTGAAAACCTCTTGCAGTTTTCTCTTCTGTTCTCTGCCCAAAAGCATTTGACCTCCTTTCTCTCCTAAATGTGAGCTAAACTTTGTTCACAGTGTGAGGCTTCCTTAGTTACTGTAGGGTCCATTTGGAGTAGGCTGCTCCAGGTTCTGATATTGACTGACATCTCTTAAGGAGCAGAAACACTGAAGCTGTCTTGCCTGTTGGACCCAGGGAAGTATCTGCTGTGCTTGCAGATTGTTTATATCTCTGGGAGGCCCTTCTTCTCAAGTGTATAACCTAACCTGGGAATTTGAAAATCAGAGCAAGGCACTCAAACTTTTTAAACTAACAGCTTTCACAGGACTTCATGTCCCCATTCTTCCTGCATTCTCCCCTCTTGCAGATATTTCTCAGATATCTGAAGCCAATATTAGCCTGCAGAAAACAGTTTTTCCCACTGTCTTCCTTGCTTATTACTATATAACTTGAGATGGAGAATGCTTTATTTATATCAAAATGGGGAGTGTTGTGTGTGGAGAGTGGGCTGTAATCTCCTGACCTCTTCCATGTTATAAAAATAGTTCTTGTAGAGCTTTCTGAGTCGGCCTTCTGTATTTTGGCTTGACCTGCATATATATAACTGACTCTCCATTGAATTCTCAGTCAAGATTTCTACAGCCATGGTAACTGCTACAGGGAGACATGCACGAAATAATTCTCACTACCATGTCTGTCAATTCTTTTGTGTGCGCCTGCTCTGCCTGAACTGATCACGAGAGGCTAAATGTCTGCTTGTGGCTTTTGAACAACTTCATTATTCATTCCACCCCAACTTAGCCCTTTACTACTGGTGCTTGGCTTGTGTGTCAGGATGAGCAAACAGTGTCTAAACAGTAATCCAAGGGCAAATTGCATATGCCATGGGTCTGAGTGCAGCCGCCGCTCTCCGTGCCCTTTGATTGGGGAGAGTCTGGGTGTGAGTTGCTCTGCGCAACAAGTCTCGGGTGTATTATCTCCACGTTGCCCATAGTTGCCCTGAACGGCATAAAGGTTACATGACTTGCCTGGAGGAAAGGGGGTGGGGGTGTTTGGGTTTCAGCTGGAGTTCCTGTTTCTCAAGACCTTGCCACAGGGTATATGACAGAGATATTTGTGAGTTAGCAGCATTGCCATGGGAACCATCACTGGTTTTTTTTGACTTTTCAGAGACTAAATTCTCTGTCTTAATGTTACGTTAATGTGGTCTAGGGAGAGGGAAGGAACCAGGTGCCGGGGTATTTGTGTGACAGGAATAGCAAATGAATAAATGCCTTTATTTGAATTTGCAAGCTAAGGGTTGGGCATTCCGATGTCTGGAGGAAACACATTCTTTTCCCAGTGACTGGGGAAAAAAGTAGGAGGCAAAATTGGGGAGGGTTCCACAGCTGGAGACTTGCTGTTTGGGGAGTCATTGGACTGTGCAGGCTTCAGTTCACGCATTCCAGTCAATTTTCACATGCTCTAGGGATGAGAGTCCCTTGCACCCACTGTAGCCTGTAACGTCTGAAATAGATGCCCGGGGTGCCCATGAGACAGTCTTGGAAGAAGCTTGATGGTCTCTGTCTGGGTGACAGAAGGGGTGGGGGGGCAGTGCCTTCCCAAATGAATGTCCTAGATGGCATTGGTGTAGGCTGTGCAGATCACAAGTCCTCCTGCTCATCCTGCCCTCTGTCACCCATTCCAGATTCTTGTGTGTTTTTAAAGGCTTGTTGCCATGCAGTGGGGAGAGAAAGGGGAACTCTAGTCCAGTATGTGCAAGATCAGATCTGAGTATGTAATCAGGAAAACATTGCTTGGTTAAGCCTGGCTGCAGCTGGGCTGGCTCTGGGGAAGACAGCTGATTTCTATGGAGTTCTTCATGGCAGCAGCATCACTTCGGTAGGATCAGAGTGGAGGAAAACACTCTTTGGATGGGGGATCAGGAGACAGTTTAGGCTGTAAAGAAACATGTTTTGTCACAAGCTTTGTGTCCAAGGCAGCCAGTCCTCAGTCTTTACCCAAGCATGTCTTGTCCTGTCCTGCCACTCACCCCTGACTTGGCTTCTGAGGACCCTGCTTTGGGAAGGGAGTGGAGGTGTGGGCTGGCTGGGAACCTCGCTGGGGGTAGGAGGGAACTGGCAGGAGACTGCTTGCAGAGTGGGTTGGGTTTGGGAGGTCATGTTGGGGTGTGTGGGAAGGCAGCCTTGTGTTTTCTATTGGAAGGGCTTTTGGGAAGGAGGGAGTGTCTTAGGGAAAAGACGTTTTTTCATAAAATTTGCTTTCAAAAAAAAACCCCATTGTAGGAGAGCTGAGATGAAATGGAGAGAGGAAGTATGGTGTGGTATCACAGGTCATGACTATAATCCTGCTTCTGGACTGACTTGCTCAGCAGATGCATTCACGTCACTTGTATTTTTCTTTATCTTTTCAAACTCGAGAGTGAGATCTTACTTGTTTCCTGCAGCCCAGGGTTGCTGTGAGTGTTAGTCACTGATTGTCAGGTTTCTAAAAGTGGAAAGTAGTAACACTAAATAATGTTTCCTTGGTGTGTAGAGATAAAGTTTTATTTCTAGCTCTTTACTCTTTAATGTTATTTAGTATCCTGACTCTGTAAAAAAAGTAATTAAATATTGGAAGATGCATAACAGTAGCTGAAGATGAAACAAAGAAACAGGATGTAGGAACTGTTGTCCTTTACCCTCCTCCAAGGTTTAGTTCAGGATCTCATACTAGGGTTACAGGAAACAGACTGCTACAATGTTTTGAGCTAGGTGCTCAACTGTGACCCCTGATGTTGGTGCTTCAGGCTCATCGCAGGTGTGAGTCTCACTGAAGTTGTTTGAGTGGGCTAAGGTGACCACGTATATGTGAGGTGCTAAACACCAGGAGTGCAGGGCTGTCAAACATTTATAGTTCAGCATTTTAATAATTGGGTGCTGTGCTTGCAATTGTTTTTCCTTGATCACATTGCTGTGTTAAGACACAGTTAACGTGTGTTTGCACGCACGTAATGGATACTAGGTAGCTTCCCAATTTGGTTTTTAACCTCTCATTGCCTTCAGTGAGGGCTCATAGCATCCCCCACTGACTTCAGGCTCCTTAATCTCAAGTCTCTAATTCTGGCCTTCCCTAAAGTGCTAGGACCATGATCTGTTTGCAGAATGTATCCCATTCTGAATGGCATTGGTGGCTGTGCTCAAAAGTGCTGTGCTTCACACAAGTGGAGGTGTGTTATTCAGCCTGCCCTAAGCAGTTTGGAGTTCAATCAGGATTTTGGAGGCGACATCCTGATTTATTCCTGAAAAGCTGATTTGCTTGTTTAGTAGGTTTCTCTGGTTCCTGCCCTGCCTTTCCCTACTCCTCTGAGGGGAACCACCACGCTCTAGTCAAGAAGCCGCAGCTAGAGGTGTTAAAGCTACAGCATGGATAAGTCAAGGGCTGGCAAGACTGCAGGACTGAGGTTATCCTTGTGTCCTGTGCTTTCAAGCCCTGGGTGTGTGTTCTGACTCCATTTCCACATGCCTCCTGTCTGAGGATGTAGGTCATTAGCCAATATTGTTTAGTTTTGTTTATTTGATATGCATGGTGAGTAATCGCAGCCCTCTGACAGTACACGTATCCCAACCTTAGGCTAAATGCAAAACTGGGTTTCTTTCTGTCATAGCATCTAAGTATCTCCAGACAGTCATGTAATTATCTTTGGCAGTAGCCTGATAAGATTAGGAAGTATTAGCCCCTTTAAAGTGGGCAACTTGAGACAGTAAGTTAGTGAGGTCAAAAAATGCTGTAATTTCTGCATGCTCAAAGATGTTCTGGAAATCTGCAGGGCTGTTTTCTCCTCTACCATCCTGAAATGTGGCATTTTTGTGGTGTTTCATGTGCTTTGACCCAAATGATCTCTCCTATCAGTTATGGAGTGATGAGACCCTCCTATCCTTCTGCAACCACAGTACTTTTTTTTCCCCCTCAACTTTTTTAACTTGCCAAGCCCTCTGTTCTCAAAACAACTAGGAGGTTGTGAGAGAGATTCGCAAGGAAGAAGGAGCCTTGTGACCCACATCTGGTCTTGTTACATGAGGATATGTGTATCTGTGACCTGCTACAGCTCCTCTTTTGTCCTGATTCAGCTCAGCTAACAGAGGAAAGGAGTAGCTGTAGTGATCTACTGGCCTTTGAATAGGGCAGGCATATATCTGATACTGACACTCACAGACTAGTATATTATCTGCAGCATTTTCCAGAATGTGGCACTGAATCCAGCAAAATGTGCTATAGTAAATTAATCTAATAGATGGAGCTTGTTAGTCTTTCCTCTATCCCTGTGCTCTCCCTTAAGCCATATTTTGCTTGCTTGTTATCTGTGTCAGTTGTTCTTCTGGAGATGTAAAGTACTTTCTCCAAAGTGTTTATTTTATTTGGGAGGGAAGCAAGAACAAGACAATCTTGGCAAGATTTATAGATGAATTTGCAAGCAGTGTTGGAGGAGTTGGGAGGAGTTAACCAGGCAATATTTGCAGTTGTTGAGATTCTGCATCAAATTGTTCTTGAGTTAGCTTGAAACTTTAAAGTGGCTTGGCTATTCCAGAGAACAAAGTCAATGCAAAATGTCGGGGGGGTTTTTGTGAGCCAGTTTCTTTTATTTTATAAGTAAACATCTAAAGATGGGTCCTTCCAATGGCATCTTAAGGGTAACCCTTGGTCCAAGTAGAGTTGTTAGTGATGCCAGTCATTCCTCATTTGGAGGGGAATTTTGTCTTCAAAGTATGCCCCTTTCCTTCACAGCTTAAAAAATGTGACCAAGCTGGAAAGACATCTTTGCACATTACACGTTAGGCTTCTACTATCAACAAAGTTGTTTACTACAAGAAGGGGTCCCTAGTTCCTTGTTTCTGCCCTGCTTAAAAACTATCAGCAGTTTAGTTAGAAGATGTGTTTGAAAGGGCTGTGTTGGACTTACCTCTGTTAGCTTTGTCTGTCTGTGACTACCTCTGTCATGACTAATCCCTGGACTGAAGAATCATCTTGGGTGGAGAAGTGTAGGTGCCCTTCCTCTGAGACTGGGAAGAGCAAAGTAGGCAGGGTTGGTGCAGCAGTTCTTGAGATGTGAAATTCTTGTGTGTATTAAGGCTTGTCCAAATGAGGAGGTAGTCAGAGTCATTAGTTATGAAATGGGTTGGGCTGTATGGGGAGAGGAACACCTTAACTCTTGTAGTATGACCATCATCACAGGAATTTGCTATGGAATGTCTTCTACAAGTTTGACTATCTATAGGAATCTACCAGAAAAGTGAGAGGGTTGGTTGTTCCATGCAGTGTTCACCTCCAAAGCTATGTGATTGCCAAAGCAGGTTTGCTTGCTGCTCACTCCTTGCCCCTTTGTAACTTCTCACAGAACAAAGTCGCCGTGATGACCTGGAGAGCCTGGGTTATGTGCTCATGTATTTCAACCTGGGCTCGCTGCCCTGGCAGGGCCTCAAGGCTGCCACCAAGCGCCAAAAGTACGAGAGGATCAGCGAGAAAAAGATGTCAACACCCATCGAGGTGCTCTGCAAAGGGTACCCTTGTAAGTGCTCTCATCTTGATGGCTGTCTTGTCTGCTGCTTGGCTTGTTCACCTGCTGAAACCCCCTGGAATCCTGGTTCCTAAAGGGCAGTGCCCAGTAACCCGAGCAGGATGTGCTGCTGACACGGGTGATGAGAAGGATAACAGAGCAGTTGTGGTACAGTTTGGGTTCAGAAGTGGGAAACATGTTTTTGTAGACAGTCAAACCTGACATGAGTAAGGGCATGAGAGTGCTGAGAGGGGAGGTCTTCAGGACCCAGTGAGCATTTTAAAGGGGGGTGGGCATTGAGCTGAGAAGCTATGCTGATGATGCTGAAATTTTACTGATTAATGAGGAGTTCCAGGAATTACCCAGCCATAAAGTGGCAAATGCAGTTCTTTGTAGGTAAACGTGGAGTAATGTATGTGAGAACAGAGAGAAGTATTGGAGCTCAGGTCATGTGCACAACAGTAGGCTCTGGCTGACCAGTGCCACTCACCAATGAGCTGTTGGAGTTACAGTCGATGGTTCTGTGAAAACATCAGATTTGTGCTTGGTGCCTGCTGGGGAAAGGGAGTGTTAGGAATCACTAGGAAAGAATCCCAAACAGTGGACAGTGTGTATACACCCATGGCCACCTTGCATGCACTGTGCAAGTCTGGTCCATCCCACAGTTTCACAAAGGATATGGTATCACTGAGGAAAGGGCCAAAAGCGTGACCAGAGGTGAGTGGATTTCTGCCCAAGTAATGAGTCTGCTGGAAAAAGAGGTGGATAAGGAGATGATAGAAGTCTACTCTCTGGCTATGCCTACAGAAGTTTGGATGGGAACTGATTATTTGGTGGCCCCAGTTCTTATACTGAAGAGAAAAAATGCTGGTTTCTGCCAGCTTCAAAACAAAAGGATGTGGTTCTTCACACAGCCAGTGTGGAGATCTGTGGAACTCCTTCCCAGAAGATGTTGTGGATACTTAAATCTTACAGGAGTTCGAGGAGAGACGGGACAAGTACGTGGAAGAGAGATCCTGTGTGGATTACTAAATAGTTAGGAACTACATCCAGATCAGGAGGTTCCTGGAACTGAAAGTAGGTGCTGGGCTAATGTTAGAGGAAGTGTCAGACATGTCTTCCCCACCCTTTCTCGTCTCATATACTTCTGACCACTGTGTACAGCAGGCTACTGAGCTAGGAGGACTTCTGTTCCGAGTTGAACTTCCCAAAACTCGTCTCCAGCTCTTTTTTAGGTCTGCATTCCTACTGTCCTTCAGCGGGCACTGTGACTTGCTAGATGTTGCTTGGAGAAGCTGACAGAAAAAGATGCATAACATTTTCTCTGGTAAAAAGAGAGTTGGGGTCCTTTTGGTGCCCAAAGCACTGCCACCAGCAGGCTCAGTCTGTGTTGCACAGCTCTGTGTTTGTGCTGTCCTAGTCCAGCATGCCACTGTCAAAAGGCTGCAGCGGCTCCATGGTGGGAGCAGGGAGGTTGGATGGCAAACCACAGGCATCAGCTGTTCTCTGCTCTCTGCAGCTGAGTTCTCGACATACCTCAACTTCTGCCGTTCACTGAGGTTTGATGATAAACCTGACTACTCGTACCTGCGGCAACTCTTCCGCAACCTCTTCCACCGCCAAGGCTTCTCCTATGACTACGTCTTTGACTGGAACATGCTTAAATTTGTGAGTGTGTTTGGCAAAAGGGCTGGACCAGGGTTGGTTTGTATCATGGAGATGGGGGAGGAAGGTTGGAATCTGCCTGCTGTCTGTGCTTAGCCCTGGTGAACAGCCTGAGCAAAGGGACCAGGTAGAGTGAAAAAGAGGCAGAGTTTCGTGCATAACAAACTGGGGGTATAGTTACTGTTGTATTAGTCAGTGTGTCTGATGGAGCACTTGTGTCAGTAGATCTATAGCTAGAGGTGGGTAGAGATAATTTTTCAGGAGAGAGCTCTGTTTGGAGCTGGGACACAGATGTGGATTGCAATAACAGCTGTAGTTCATATGCTTTCTTATCTGTTTCATTTTGGAATAGAATGAGGTCCTTTCTTGGGGCAGTGGAAGGTGGTGGGGGGAGTTTTGGGGATGGAGCTCCACTTCCTTGGCATGATGGAGCACCACGTGTTTTCTGTCCGGGGCTGCTGCGGTCTCTCCTGGCTGACAGCTGTGTGTGGCGTGGGGGTTTCTCTACTCAGGGAGCAGCCCGGAACCCTGAGGATATGGATCGGGAGCGGCGAGAGCACGAGCGGGAGGAGAGGATGGGGCAACTCCGAGGGTCAGCCACGCGAGCTCTGCCCCCCGGCCCGCCCGCCGGAGCCACTGCCAACCGTCTTCGCAATGTCACCGAGCCCATGGCCTCCACGCCCACCTCCCGAATCCAGCAGTCCGGTGAGGCGGGTGGGAGAGCCGCCGGCGGGCGCCACGCCTGTTGTTGGCTGGCAACCAAAGCTATTGACTGATATTCTTGTCTCGACATTTCTCTGCCCCAACAGGCAACACGTCCCCCAGAGCAATCTCAAGAGTGGACAGGGAGCGGAAGGTCAGCATGAGGTTACACCGAGGAGCTCCTGCCAACGTCTCCTCATCTGACCTCACAGGGCGGCAAGAAGTGTCACGGATTTCAGCATCACAGGTGAGTTCCTGCTGCAGTGTTCCTGGCCTTGGCTTGGATGTCCCAGAAACTCTACAGGCCCCAAAGTAGTTTTTGCCTGACTTGCTGGAGCTGACATGAGCTGCAAGCTTCTGGTGTGGTGAGGGGAGTGGTACCAAGTTACACCCTTGCTCTTCTGTTATGTATTTTCTGGAGGCCATGCTGAGTACTGCCATTTTAGCTCTCTGCTTTGCTCAGAGTAAGCCGTCATTGTGCTGTCTTCTAGACCACAGAGGTTTGGAAAAGCACAGCAGTAAACTCTTAAGAGTGAGGTTGGTTTCTGAGAGAAACATGCAGTCTCTCTGTTTTGGTGCCTTTTTTGCTTTTCTTTTTCCTCTCCGGCCCTTAGCAAAACACTTCCTTTTCTTTTGTAGACAAGTGTGCCATTTGATCACCTTGGGAAGTGAGGAGCAATTGCCACTGGACCAGTGTTTGCTTAGGTGAGCCTGTACTCATGCCTGGGAACCCCTGAGGAGGGAAATGCTGGGAAAAAAAGCCTTAAGACTTTATGTTGTTGTGGGGGATTGGTATATTTCCTTTCCTTTCACCTTACTTTGAGATGTCTTTTGGCTTCAGAGGGAAGAATAAGGTTGGCTGCCAAAACTTTGAGAGAACAGATTGTCTTGGTTGTAAAGGTAGCTTCCAGTTCTCTAAGAGGATTGGAAGGGTGGAGAAGGTGCTGAGCTGGGGAGCCATTTTGTTAATTCCTCATGAATGCTTTTCTGGCAGTGTGACAGTGTTGGGGTGGAGGGTGCTGAGCAGGTAATCAAGTATGCAAGACTTTGTACAGCTACTGAGTGCCTCTTGTAGAGGAAATGACAGTAGCTGGGCAAGGTAACTCTGAGGGGAGGCAGGAGTGTAGAAGAAATGGCTGAATTGATTTGTTACACTCCAGCTGGCAATGGAAGTGCTGGAAAGAGCCTTTACTCCTAACATCTCTTGCCTTTTTCTCTCTTTTAAATTCTCTTTTTAGTGTCTTCACTGTATTTTTCTTTTACAAAACAAAAAAACCTAAAAAACAAACAAAAACCTTAAAAAAGAAAAGACAAAAAAAAAACCAAACAAAAAAAAAACAAACAAAAACCTTAAAAGAGAAAAGACAAAAAAAAAACAAACAAAAAAAAAACCCAACAGAATTTCTTTTTGCCAACGATGAGGAGTCGAGCTGTGCCCCTGCGCTGGTGTGAGCCGTTTCCAGAGGGCCACCTGTCCCTGGCGTGAGCGCCTCCGAGGAGCTGTCGACGACGTGGGAGCCGTGTGGCAACACCTGCGCTGCTCCCCAGCCCCTCTCGCTGCCCCCACGGCCACCCTCAGTTCCCTCTCCTGACTCTCTGCTCCTGCTTTTGATTTCTCTCTTTTTCCTTCTTCCTTCTTCTTGGCTATCCTCTCCTGCTTTAATTTTTCTTTTAAATATTGTTTTTGAATCATATGGTTTCTAGCCGTATAAATTTAAACTTTGCTCTCCGTTTTTTCTGAGGGCAGGGGTTGGTGGTGGGTGGGTGAGGTATTTTTTTGGTCTTTTTTGTTTTGTTCTTTTCAGGAGCCTTGTGGGCCAGGAGGGAATCAGATTCCAGCCACACTTGATGGTAGAAGTCTGATTTTTATTATTATAACAGAATTTATTTTCTCAAGCATTAAACACATTTTAAGCTGTGAGGGGGAATTGTGGCAACAGCCTAATCATTGACTCGGGCTTCCTTTCCTTGGGTGGCTTCTCCGCGGTTTCTTTTTTGGCTGTTGGGAGAAGTGCCAGCCTTCCCTGATCCAAGTGGTCCTCACACACCGAGGGATCTCTTTGGAGAGGCACCTGGTCCCACAGAGGATGGGATTGTTGGAGCTGACATACAGGGAGAAATATACTTCTCATCCCTGCAGTGGGGTCTTTTTTTTTTCGTCTGGCTGTGCGTGTTTTTCTATTTTTATTTTTTAATTAAAACTTGTTTTAATTCCTGCGGAGAGAGTGTGGGACTTGAGGAGAAGAGAGGGGCGCACAGAAACTGGAGTTTGGAGTTCTTTCAGAGCGATGGTTCTTGCTCTCTCCTCATGCAACCCCAAGTAAGATCCACCAATACATGCACAATCCCCTCCTGCCCTCTCCCACCCGTCTCCCCCCCCTTTTCCCCCCCCCACTTTAGTTGTTTTTTAATATAATTTAGGAATACTCAAGCTGCTTTGTGGCACTTGGGGCTTTGAAACACAATGATCACCACTGCGACCTATGGCCTGTAGCAGACACACTGTCACTGTAGTGTGGAGCCGATGGGTTGTTGGCAGGGCGGGGAGGGTGGGGTTAGTCTTTGTTTTGTTTGTTTTTACCCTTTCTATTTAACACTTTATTTTTCCTCCCTGTTTTTTTCCTAATTTATTTACCCCTCTTACTGTCTCTCTCTTTTTTTTAATTAAAGAGCAAAACTTTTTATTACTTTGTAATTTAAAAAAACAAAAAAAAACCTGAAGAACTTTGGGGGGGATTTTGTACTTTTTTCCTGTGTAAATATTGGACTTTTTTGAGCTTTATCGTGGTTGTTAATTTGAAGTAATAAAGTAGAAAATGATAAAGTGATGCCAGCATCTGTCATTTCTTCCTTTAATGGCCCTGGCATCTTTGCTGGGAGTCACATCTTACACACAGGAGGCATGGTCTTGCAGCTGAACCTGTTTCTGAATTCCAGGAACAAGTTTGATCAGAATTACTGGAAAAAAAGGGCACAGGACTGGAGCGCCTAAAAATAAACCTGAGCTGATCTCTGCAGTTGCAGCCTTGGAACAGGCGAGAGTTACGTGAAATCTGATTCAGGATCTCTCGGTTCCTGGATCTGAGCCTCTGGCATCCCGTGTGTCTGGCCTTGAGGAGAAAGGGATGGGCTTTTCCATGCTGCTGGCTTTGGGTGTGTGCTGGCTTTGACAGAGGTGGACCCTGGATTTTGTGATTTTTGTTTTCTTCAAGCTCAAGTCCTGAAGGAGAGGGGTGCAGAGCACTTGACAACAGCACGGTTCCTGATGCAGACAGACTGAACGCTCTGTGGAGTGGCACCTGCTGCTTTGGTGTCTGCTTTTGGTGGTGTGGTTTGTTTGGGTTTCTCCTCCTTTGGTTGTCTGACCAGTCTGGCAGTAAAATACTGAATTTTAATACTGATTTATTTCTAAATTGCTGCTCCTATAGTTACACATCCCTGCATTATTCCGATGAGAGGCCTGTTTCTTCCGGGCTCTGTCAAACCCTTGAAACTTATTTTCAGAAACACCTGCTGGGAATAAATTATGGATCTTGGTGACTTTGCAAGTTCTTTCCAAGCCTGTTCTCTGCCAGCTGGCCGGGAAGAGCTGTTCCTTTGTTTCCCTGCTGCATGGGTCTTCCAGCTCCAGGGATGAGTGTAGGAGGGATGGGAAGAGGAAGGGGAATGGGAACTGCCCAGGGCTATGGGGTATTCTGTGGTTACCTCTATCCTGCATTTCCCCTGCCTCCATTTTGCGTGTGAAACTGGACTTTTTCCATTGTAAATCCTGTTTTCTGTGAGAAAGGTTTCCTGTGTGTAGGGCTACACTGCCCTCCCGGCAGCGTGGTGGAGGCAGCAGAGCCGTGCTCTGGCAGGCTCCAGGAGCTCTGGGGGTGTGTGGGGCAGGAGTTCTGCCCTGGGACAGAACGGGAACGCGCTGCCATTTCGGGGCACCTGTGGTAGCAGCTCCATCTCTGTTTCAAGATGGGCAAGGGCCCTTCCAATGCAGCGGGAGAAAAGGAGAAAATCATCAACCCTATCGCGGGCAGGACGTTGCCTCCTTTTGCTAACACAGTGCTATTAAACGTTCTAGGGTGTGGTGCGTTTGCTTTCTTTCTTCCTTCGGCTTTTGTGCTTCTGGTTTTTTGGTTTGGTTTTTTTTTTTAGACTCAGAGTGCCTTGTTCAGACTTGAGTAGAGGCACGGCTTTGCTTTCCAACACCTCTCCGCGTTTCTTTCACGCGGGGTTTGGGGCGCTGAGGCCGGATGGAAATCAGCCTGGGGCGGCTCCTCCTGAGGCCGGTGCTGCCTGTGGCCGGGCTGGCGAGGAGAGCCGCCGGCCCGCCCGTGTGCCCGGCCCCGGGAAGCGCGGCCCCTTCCCGGCGCTGCGGAAAGGCGCCGCGTCCCCCGCGCCCGGCGGCGCTGCCCCTTTAAGAGCCGAGCGGTGACGTCACCCTGCTCCCCTCCCTGGCTGGCAGCGGCCGGTGCTGTGCGCAGGCGCGGAGGGAGGGCCGGGCCGGGCCCGGCGTCGCCATGGGCTCCTGAGGCCTCCGCGGGGCCGCGCGGGGGTGGCTCGTTGAGGTGCCCACGAACTCGCCTTGCGCCCCGCGCCGGCCGCTGTGGCCGCTGCTCCCGCTCGCCCGCAGCTCCTTCTGCCGTTCCCCGCGCGGCTCCCCCCGGCCCCACGCAGCCCTCCGCCCCGTCCCCCCCGCGGTGGGCGCCCCTTCTCCTCAGGGCTCCCCCATTCCTCCCGCACGGCCTCCGTACAGCGCCCACCCCGAGCCTCCCCGTGCAGCCCCCGCCAGCTCGCCCCCGCTCCGCTGCAGCCCACCCAGCTCCTCGCTCTGCCTCGCTGCCTCCCCGCAGCCTGCCCGTGCTGCAGCCGCTCCGCTCTCCTGTGCGTGCACCGCCCCAGCACAGCCCCCGCTCCCCGCTGCTGTCACGCTCCTCGGTGCCGTTGGGTGGGTGTCACTGTGTCTGTCTGTCCTGGCTGGGCTGGCAGCTCGGTAGACTGCAGTAACGTGGGTAGCGGGTTTGCGCTTGCTGGGTTTGCTTTGCTGCGGACGGGATGGACTGACAGACGCCTCGTGCGTGTGTGGTGTGGCAGGTGTGTGAGGAGGCTGACGCTGTGCCTGTGCTCTCTTGCACCGTAGGTGAGTTGTGGTGGGTCTTGTTCGGATGCTCGTGGTGTCTCGAAATCTCAACTGCTCTGTAAGGGCTAAATTCAGCCGTGGCAGCTGCAGTGTGTAGTGGAAGGAGGGCTTTGGAAGAACGTGTGCGTGACTGAGTTCTGGTGAATTGTGGAAAGGGACTAGAGTGATTCCAGGGACAGCACTGTGAAAGCTGCCTGGAACACTCTGAAGCTGTCAAGAGTGAGCAGAGGAGGAGGAGTGGGAAATCTAGAGGAAATAGTGAAGATGGCTCCTGCATACAGAAAGTTTGAAATTATTCTTGACATGTAAGGAGCTTGAACAGGAGTAATTATTGAAGACATAAAGACAGGTTTCCCTGGAGAGAAGACTGTTTACCTGTGTTAAAGATAAAAATAGAAGACATTGATCAATAATAGAGCAAAGGCTAATAGGGTGAATAGAAATGTCTTTCCTATCCTGCAAAAAAAAGAAAGCAATCAATGAAAATGTAATAGAGCATACATCCCACTAACAAAGACTTGGCTCTTTTAATACAGTAGTTAATTGTGCCTTTGAACTTGTGCTGCTGGATGTTACCCTTTGGTCTAAGAGCTTAGCACCTGCCCTAAAAAGGAACATAGTTTTCTCTAGAAATGTTGATGTTATTCAGGTTTCTAATACCAAAGGTTTGTATTTGTGTGATACTGTTGGCAAAAAAACCCCAAACTCTTACGCTTTTTAGGATGTTGGCTAAGTACTAAACAATAGGGGGTTGTGTGATACTGTTGGCAAAAAAATAAACTCTTACACTTTTTAGGATGTTGGCTAAGTACTACACAATAGGGGTTTTGGGAGAGCTTTTCTTATGGTGGACTAAGTACTAAACAATAGGGGTTTTGGGAGAGCTTTTCTTATGGTGGAGGTATCCCAGAAAGGCCAACTTCAGGCTTTCTTTTCACCATTGTCCCAAAGAAAATTGGCTTCAAAGCTGCTCTGGTCTAGGGGAGCAGGTTTTTAGGTCCTTAATACCGTCATTATTGCAGTTGTGCTGTAAACCGTGGGTGCCAAGGAAGCAGCAGGTGGGTGCCTCTGCGTCTGGAGCAGGAGTGATTTGTCCTGCTGCAAAACGATTGGGAAGCTCTCTAGTGAAGTCAGCGTTTCTGCCCAGCTCGGTGCTGTGGGCAGATGTTTCTCTCTGTGATCCACTCAGGTCTCTACAATCAGTTCAGAGCACTGAACTGTTTGTGTTGTGTTTGGAGACGTGGAGCAAGGGGATGAACCACTCCCAGCCACCTTTTGGACTTCAGTTTGTCTGTCTCCTTGGGACACGTGGCAGTCAGAAGGGGAAGGTTCTTAGAATGGAGCAAGGGGATGAGCCAGCCACTCCCAGCCACTGGGCACCTTTTGGACTTCAGTTTGTCTGAAGGACACGTGGCAGTCAGAAGGGGAAGGTTCTTAGATAAACTGGTCAGAAAGTGGAGTTCAGTGTGACTGGCTGGTTTGGAATAACAAAAGCATTCTGAGCTGTCTGGTCTCTAATCGTTTGACAGAATCCAGCAGAAATCTGCCTTGTTCTCTGTCAGCTTCTTTGCCTGTTTGCTGGTAGCAGGCTGGGAGGTGAGCTTTTGCAATTGTGGGGTTAGGATTCTTTTCTTCTCATGGATAAAGGAAGGGTGGGTGGGTTTTTTCCTAGCACAAAATAGCTTTTAAAACACCTCTTTCCCCTCAAAAAAGGTAGTCCCTTTTCCTACCCAGTTCTACTGCTGCATTAACTAAAGCATCTAATAATCATGTTTTGGTGTAAGATGACAACCTTTTAATTTCCATGTGAGCAACTTACCCTTCATTCCTTCTCCCTTCCTGTTTTGGTTTCGTTTTTAATTGGCTTGTGTTTACATTGAGGGAGATAAATTGTTACCTGCTCCTTCTAGCAGAAGTGCCTGTTTCATTTTCCAGCAGCTCTAAGGATATCTTTGAGCTCTTGCAGCAGTGTCTGGTGGAAGCAGTGAATTCCTCAGGAGATGTTTGTTATTTGATCCTAGCTGCTTCAAGAGCCCAGTGCTGTATTGAATGAAGTTTGAAGTAAAACATGAAGTTTCAAATCAGACTTGCTGATTCTGAAGTGCCATTGCTATGACTCGTTTTCTTAGTGTTTTCAGCCTGAAATTGAGGAAACCAAGGAAAGCAGCAGTGAATGTATGGTTGGCCTGTCTACTATATGAAAAGGATAGCACAGCCTCAGAGAGAAATTGCAATTTAACCTTTGTACAGTCGAGTTTTCTAGTACATGCCTGCTGCTGGCTGCCCATGTAACAAAGCAGCTGAGTGTTATTGCATGGCCCTGGCTGGGGGCAGAAGCTCCTCTCTGCTTCAGAGTTTGTGGTTGATTGTGCTTGTCAAGGCCCTGGAAATTTGAGGTGCTGTAGAGAATAGCACTGGGTTGGAGTTTGGTGTGCTGGCTTGCTTGGAGCACTGTGTCTGTTGTGTGCAGTTCTCACTTCTTCCCAGACTCATTGGGGTTTGCTTTCTTGTGGTGGAAGAGCGGTTTCCTGTCAAGACATCACATCCTGCCAGAATGCCTGGGACTCTGAAAGCAGTTTGACACTGTGATAAGATGGATTGAAACTCTTAGCTAAAACAACTGTGAAATATTACACTGCTTGAACTGAAAACACCCTTATAGTAAGGGATTTGGGGTTTTTTTTCTTCTTTTTCCCCTCCCCTGTTTTTTTCTGTTTTGTTTGTTTGTTTGTTTTCCCTACATGGACTACTTTTGGGGAGAGCAACTGGACTTGTTTTCAGAGCAGCAATTCCCCAGGAAAGTTTTGGGAGTGAAATTCTGCCAGCTAAAGCTGTGAGTTGCAACGCCCCTCCAGGAGTCTCACCTCAGTCTCTCTCTCCTAAGAGGCAGGGGCTGGAGTACTTGCTCATAGCCAGGTTCTCTCTCTTCAAAAATCAGGTCAACCTCCATGGGTTTTTTGTTTCTGATGGTGTAGGTAAAATGTCTGGGAAGGCAACAGAGCAAGCTGTGTCCAGGGAGAATACAGGGTATAGGCAAGCTGCTCAGGAACTGTGCTGTATCTGGGTTTGACCAGGTCTTTATAGCACCCTGGAGGGGAATAATTCACACAGGAACCTGAAAAGGGAAATAACTGACATTCTACCTGCAGTGTTAACCCATACAGTACCTGGATATTTGTCTGTATTGAAAGGATGGGAATGTTGCTGTTATTGTCTTACAGTCCCAGTGCCTGGGAGTCTGATGATACTGAAAGGATCAGCTATTTGAGGATGTTGTGTAATGAAGAGTGACCAAGAGCAGAGAGGGTTGGTGTCATGGCCTCACATTTTTTGTGTCTAGCCCCAGAGCGTCCATCTCTGCCTGGGTATTTTGTACATGTGGCCCCCAATCAACTCCCTAGTAAAAAAAAATCCCTCTGATTCAGCAAAGAAAATGACTGCAACATGTTACACAGTGCAGCAGTGAGGCTTCAAGAAGGAGATGAGATAAAATAATACCTTAAAAGCTGACCTTGCCGACCCAGTGTTCCCTCCTCAGGCTGCAGAACATGACATGGATGCTGTTGGAGGCTGCTGAGCTGATTGCTTGGGAGCCTGCAGCTGCCTGGTCATCTGCAACACAGATACAGCCTCAGCAGCAGTAATGCAGCTGTGTCTCTGCCCAGGTTACTTGAAATGAACAGAGACAAGTCAGTCACCTCAAGAGGCAGGTCAGAAGTGAGTGAATTTCTCTTCCTGGCTCACCCTATCTTGTCTCTTCCTTGCCGGTTGTGCTGTGGACCACTGATTAGTGGTGGGTGAAGCTATTTGTAGTTGGGGGTGACTTCTCTCCTCCTCCAAACTCTCCTGACTTACAGACTTCCTTTTCCCCCTCCCCATGACTGCAATGGCACTGAATTTGCAAGAGTCTTAAGCCAAATGTCATTAGTACAAATTCCTTTTCAAGTGACTTCATGCAACTGCATAATTTAATGTCAGTGTCTGGAAACATTGAGTTGAAGCTTTGTCCTTTTTTTAAGCATTTTAACCGCTCAGGTTGATGCTTGGTGTGATTTTTTTCTGTATAGAAAAGATGCATTGCTGCTGATGGCTTTTGGTATAAAGAGACTCCCATGAGTCCAGGAATACAAAGGTCCTAATTCAGCTTGCAGAACTTTGCCTCTGTAGTATTTGTATTTTTCTTGATGGAGTAGCAGGGCAGGAGAGAAGTGTGGAGGGGCTAATGTTAGATAGGAGCAATGAATTTAGAAGTTCATGGTTTTGGGAAATTAGGAAGGATGTTTGTGTCCTATGTCCAGAGGTTTAGAGGAAAAAAAAAAAAAAAAAGAGCAACAGCCAATCAGTTGTTACTGCACCAATAACAAAATGGCTTTATAGTGAGTGTGGCCTTGCATGCTTTGTTGAGAATCACTGATTTTACTCCTATAGTGTTCATCACTGCTACATGTCTGCATCAAAGGATTGCTGGGGAAGTCAGATGTGCCAGTGCCCTCATATGCACAGTTGCCTAAACCTGTGGTAGGATGTATGGGTTCTTTCAGCTCATTTACTTGCTAAATTGAAGCGTGGATCTGATCTAATAGATTCTATGTGTCATGTTCTGAGTGGAAAAGTATACTCTAATGTATTAGAAAAATTTCCTTGTGTGTGACTGCCACAAGTTCAATACTTTTTCCATGCTGCTGTAGAGTTTGAGTTCTGATTCCTCTTAAAGAAACTGTATACCCTGTGGTAACTTTAAAACTGCTATCTACCCTGTCTTAGCACTCAGAGGTAAGAAAAAATGAATAAAAGTGGTGGTGGAATGAGTTCTGATTTGACTTTGTTCTTGAGAGTTTGGAAAATGAAATACAAACATCCTCTTTCATGTGGGACACAACTGTTTACAACACATCCTTTTATTTCTTGCCTCTTTCCCCTCTGCCAGGTGCAGAATATCTTTGCACTCTTTTTGTGTTTCTCCCCTGGGAGCAGAGGGATTGCTTGGTTTGTGTGGAGTTGGGCCGTTGGGAGTATGGGAAAGGGATGCAGTGCATGGCCCAAATGTGTTTGATCCTGTTCTCGAAGGAGAGAAGGTTGGGGAACATCCCTTCTCCTCCTCTCTCTCCCCCTTCCTCTCTTTTTCCTGTCTCCTTCCAAAAAAGGGACTGGATGTTAGATATTGACCTATCACAATGTGGGTCAGTCCACAAAAAAAAAAAAAAAAAAGAGGAGGATGGGGGGAGGAGGGCTGTGCAAATACAGTGAGACAACAGAAATTAATAGAGCAGAAAAAAACTCTGGAAAGAAGAGTGCATGGCTCAGGGTAAAAGGGTTTTGTTGTTGATTCTGAGTTTTTTAATGGGTGCGTGGGGAGGGGAAGCTTCTCTTAGGATGGCTATAGGCACTATAGGCTAGGAACATGGGTGGGGGCTGTGTGAGCTGCAAGTGCAGAAGATTTTTGTGGTATTCTCAGATTTTAATTTCCCTAAAATGAGAAGCATAGGGGTGTGACCTTGTTGAAGGTTAAATTGTTTGTGTGTACAGTGCGGTCTTATGTGTATGTGGGCATGGGATCATCTCTTGAGTATGGCTTAGTGGGTGTGGACCTTGCCATGTGGTTTGGTCTGCCTTAGGTGCCTGACTCCTCTGCCTTCTTCTTCTGAGCTGATGGCTCCCTGCTCCACTCTTGCTGCTGGCCCTGCTGGTCTCCTGTCCCAGTGACACTTTCCCCTTGTTTCACTGACTGTACTGACAGCTGTGAAATTGTGACTGGCGTCTCTTCAGACTGCTCACTCCTCTAAAGAAATAACACTGAGGAGAGCTGCATTGGATCTGCACTTGTGCAGACAAGCACGTTAAGCTGACAGGGGGTGCAGCAGCTGCAGATGCAAGCACTGCGTGTGTTTGTGAGTCTGGTGAGTGCCTGTCTTGTGACTGAGCAAGCATTGCTCATGTGTGTTCAGAGTTACCCATGTGTGCCTGTGTGTCAGGTGTGTGTTGTGGGGTGACTTTTACCACCTTGAAGTTAAGAAAGCTTTGCCCAGCATGAGCAGTAAAATGTAAATAAATTGTACTAGTTAAAATTGCGTGCCAGGTCACATACTTAACTCCGATTGTTTTGGGAGTGCTGCTGGAGAGCTTAAAAATGCACTGTTGGGACCTTTTCATGTCTCATAGCTAAGTAAACTAGATGCCACCCCAGAGAGCAAAAGCAATTTAAGAAGTAATAAATGTAAAAGCATTTGATTTTTCTTGGATTGCTATCACTGATTTCAGCTGTGCCAGTGACTCTCTTACTGTGTAGTGTTGTTTTGTCCTATCTACCTGCTCCTTTTCATCTCTTTTGCCATTTCAGCTGGTGATGCTATTCCTTTGGGTGTTGAAAACATCATAGATTAATTATTTATTATATTTATATAGCATAATAAAAAGAGCTGGTCTTGGTCGGCAATTTCAGGCATTGTTATAATTAAGATGGTCTAAAATAAACATTGAACCATTTTGTCCTGTGATTTTGTATTCCTTATAAGTCTAGGGAACATTGTCAAAAAACATTTAGCTGCTGCTTTCACTAATATAGAGCTCTTGCTTGTGTCCTAATAAATGCAGAAAGTTCAGGCTCTGATTTTATCTACTACATGGCACTTTTCTGCTGGCCTTTTTGGATCCAGAATAAAGATAATTTAATGGAGAAACTCTTGAAGAAGTAAGAATTTGAGGGGAATGGAAAATGTTTTTGTGGTATTTTAACAAAGTTCAGTATGGTGGATATTTAAAGCAATGTAAGTGTGGAGCAGGTTTTAAGGAAGAACATTGTCTTGTCTCAGCTCTCCAGGAGAACCTTGCGGGCAGGTTGCGTGTGTTTTTTAGGTTTGTGTCTTGTACAGCAGAAGGAGGCTTAGCTGTTAAGGCTCTTTCATGGGATAGCTTTGGGTATCATTCTTTGCTCACTCAGCAGTTTGGAAATTAAATACTTTCAGCCTTGGATGAGATGATCTATTTTAAAAACACAGATTGTGTTTGCAGATGGGAGAGAACAGCTTCCGAGTCCTGCTGTTTGGGGCTCTTTTCCTATTGGCACTGGGGGGTAGGTCTTGCTCAGAGCAGGCAAACACCTCCTCCTTTACTACATTGTGGTTGAATATTCAGATGTGCCCCTGGAACTGAAGGACCACGCCTGAACCTTTCTTCCCTCCTCTTACACCACTTTTGTTGTGCCAGAAATGAGGTTTTCGTATTTATATTTGTTTATGTAGAAATAGCTCCTCCTCAGTGGTAACATTTTCCATGCTCTTATGCAAGCCAAAAATGAAGTTTTTTGTTTTCACTTTTGCCACATCCTGTCTGTTTTCTGTTTGGAGTTTATTTTCAGCACAAGAAGCTGCCATGTTAATGTTGGAGACAGGAGATCTCTGTTTCCAAAAGATACGGGACTGGCAATCTACTCCTGAAGGAGAATTAGTGTGCTGTTTTTTCTGTGGATGCAGGCCACGTGGACACATCCCTGCTACTTTACATCTGTGTGGTGTCATTAAGAGAACTGGTCCCCATGCCATTTGCAGCTTCTTCTCTATCAAGAATATTTGTAACAGTGTTCTTCATCTCTGGGTTTTTATCAGGATAGTTACCTTGATAGAAATAGCACAGGCTTTATTTTGTTTTCTTTTCCCTTCCTTGCATTGAGAGTTCCCCCAGTACTCCTAAAGTGTTTTCAGAAGATGTGTTAGATAAGTGTAAGAGATACTTCTTGTGTAAGAGATACTTCCCTTGTGCTGGCAGGGCATTGTTTAAGCTAATGCCCTGCCAGCACAAGGCCTTGGTACTTCTTTGGTGTTTAAGCTAATGCCCTGCCAGCACAAGGCCTTGTCTTGCTCTAACATACATAACTTGTGATGACATCTGGGCAGGAACGGGTGACAGCTTGCAGGGGATGGGGGTGTGATCCCTGCCTTCCACGTTGGGAGGTGGTTGTGTATAGACCTCAGCACTGCCAGAAACACCTGTAACCCATGTAGAAGAATCATACTAGCTCTGATCCAAATTTCTTGTGGCCATCCTGGAATACACCTCACCTGCGTCCAAAAGTGCTGTGTGTTTATGTAGATGTACTTTTATGTGTGCTTTTTTCCAGTTTCCAAAGTTTGGTGCTATTCCTGGGTTTCTGTTATGTTGCAGGTTACCTCCGGGGGGAGCAAGGTAGTCACTTGGAGGTGGGGAAAGCTTTGAGAGTGAAATTTAGAAGTGTTGAAGTATTTTCCTTTGATATGTTTAGGAGAGCTCTCCAGAGAGGGACAATAAGTGTACAAGGAACTTTACTATTCCTTGAACTGAAAGCAATGATGAAACAGGTGGGAAGAGAAAACAGGATATGGCAGAAGAGTAAGAAATGCTTCAAAATGTATTTTGCATTAGATTGGTTTGTATTGCATTGGTAATTTGGGTTTCCAAATGCCCCTAATTTGACATATGGTAATGTCAAGCGCTTTCCTCGTGGTTTGGTACCTTGCAGTGCTGGGAACTGTATGGACAGAGAACAAAAAGATGGTTGTCCCAGGGAGCTTAAAATGCACAAGAAACAACAGAGAAATACAGCCAGCTGGGAGAGCACCAGCAAAGAGATCACAGCCAGGAGGTGATGGAGGTGAATGGGGAATAGCTGTATGGCTCTTGGAAAGTACCTTTTTACCCAGGCATGACACCAGGCAGGAAGGTGTGTTGTGGTGCTGGCTTGGGCTGAGATGGAGGTGGGTGTCCAAGAAATAAGGGTCAAACATATTCACAGTGTAAGAGGGAAGTTGCTGATACCAAGGTACTGCATGTGTAGCTTATCAAGACAATATTTTTGTTGTGACATGTTCCCAGGCACTGCCTTTTCTGGGCTTTTCTGGGCTTGTGTCCTGTCAGGGAAGAGACATCTCAGAAGCAAGGCCTATTGAGACAAGTTGCCACAGCCCACCCTCACAATGCTCTTTTTAAAAAGGCAGAAGAGAGGCTAGCAGACTGAGCTGGTGGTAGTGAATGAGCTGAAATCCACTCTCCTGGTTACGGCTCCAGTCATCCGTGCTGTTACCTTTTTCTTAAGTACAGACTGGAATTGTTCTTACAGCCTCAGCTTCTTGCATACAGTAGAATTTCATAACAGCTTTGTGCACTACTTATACCTGTCACTGTGGCTGTGATGTGTGGGACTTGAGGAGATTAGAAGGGATAATTCGGAAGGCTTATGTTATTTTTGTGGATTTTGGAGTACAGCATTCCTTCATGTTTCACTAGCAAGGAGAATGAACTGCAAACTGATGGACAGAACCAGTAAAAGGTGTCAAGGAAATAAAATGCTGTCCTCCAGGGCAGCCCTGAGTGCTCATGGGTCAGGTAGTTTGGGGTTTGGGTAGATGTAAATCCTGTTTTGTAAGAGAGTTTGTGTATTTTCTTTCAGAACACAATGGTGGAAAAAGTTATTAATTTCAATGACTATGTGAATTGAAGGGGATTAGGTGAAGAATGATGCACAATCCTGTAATTAATGGCTGTTGATGTGTAATCACAAGGGGGCAGTGTTAAGATTACATACACAACTTCAATTTATGACTGACCTTGCTTATGAGTACATAACCCTTGTCATGACAAAATGCTTGTTGATCACTTTTTGCTGTTTTCACTTGTTTTTAAATGAGTACAGAGAAACAGAAGAATTCCTTTTCAGATCCTCAGTTCTCTTGATGGTACTGCTGCTGCATTTGGGTCTCTGCTACTGGTGTGGTTTGATTAGCTGGAGTGTGGAGGTCCAGGTCCTGTTTCTGCTGGCACCTGTGGTCTGCTGTACGGATCCTCTCCCCCATGAACTTTTGGAAGGGCTTAGCAGTTTCCTGTCTTGCATAGCTCCCAAAGTGTGCTGGGATGTGCAGGACTGCAGCTGGCAGGACTTTATTTAGAGCTAGGTTAACCACAGGTGCATCTGCTCTGATTTCATTGTAGATGTGCTCTTCTTGAGCTTTTTGGAAGCACTCTCAGCACTGTGCATATTCAGTTGCTTCAGAAGTTACTTGGGTAGAAATCCCTTTCTTTTAAAAGCAGTAAAAGCCTTGCGAACTTGTGACATCTCCACCCATCCTCAGTGTCTGCAAATATTTAGATATAGTACAGATGATGAAATGTGTGTGTGTTTGTGTGTATGCTTAGAAGCTCAAAACTTAAGTTACATTTCATGTACTGATCAGGACTGGAGAGGAATTATCCCACTGTACATGCAGTTATGGAAAACTGTAACTCAGAGCAGGGATCCATTGGAACGAACAAAAAAAAAAGTTTGAAGATTAGTTTGTAAATTAAAGCACAGTACTTGTGCAGCTCCACCTATAGTAAGACATGCTTAAACAAATCTGGGTATTTCCCAGGACTTTTCTTTTTCCCCCCCGGAAGAAAGCAGAAAGGAGGTGGAGTGTGCCATAAGGTAACATCAGACTGCTGCACACCATTGATACGAGTGTGTGTTTTGGAAAAGCCTGTGCTAAAGGGGCCATTTTTGTCCTTGGTGTGCATGTGGAAAGGACTTGCTGCTTTTACTGAGTACCTGTTCCCTAGTTTGTGCTGTGGCTTCAGGTGGAGCAGGGCTGGGGCAGTTCCTCTGTGAACATACATTCTCTTTTGTGTTCTGTAACAACCTGTCAGTAGATGACAGATGTGTCCTTCCCTGGTGCAGCTGTAAACTCTGGCAATGGATCATTGGCCTTTCCAAAGCCCTTTCCATCCACTGATCATACAGGCCTGTGTAGGAGCAATGACTTGAGCTTTTATAGAAGTGCTCTTCTGAAAAAATATTAGGAGGTTATCAGAAGGAGGCAATATTATGCTGTTCCCTTTGATAGGCACATCAGAAGCAGCTCTTCTGATGGATAGAACCAATGGCTGCCTGCTTGTGATCTTGGTTTAAGTGGATTATCTTCCTACAATCCAGAGGTCACACTAGAGCCTGCTTATGACCAAATTGAAAATAATAGCTACTTTAGATCTTAGACCTTGAAGAATTTGTTCCATTGAAAGAAGATGGCTTTTTAGCCAGGAAATGGCCAAGGGTTATCCTGTTTTGAAATCTTGCATATTCTTGTGTTCTGTATGTGTTTTTATGTGTCAGCTGGCTTTTAAAAGCCAATCAGGTTAAATTCACATCAGGTAGAAAGCAACCTAAAGTTAGTAACATTAATAACAGGCTGGCTAAATGTACCATGCCGTACAAATTTTGGTAAAAGCATGATTTTCATGCTGTTCACACTCTCAAAGTGAGAAGAGCTTTCGGTGCATATCCTTCAATGAGAATGCTTTAGTCTGAGTGTGGTTTTCAGCATGGCTGTAGGAGAGGTGGGCATTGCTTGCTGGAGGAATTAGAATATTCTTCCCCCTGCCCCCTTCCTGCACAGGGACACTGTGGCACATGTTCTTGTTGCTGCTTAGCAGGCTAACCATGACAGTAGGACGCAGCAGAATAGCCTATACTCTTACAGAAAATAGAGATGCTAACTTAAGTGTGCCTCATCTTCCTGTAGGGATGGTTTAGATACTCCTTCTGATCTTTTTACAGGGTTTGTAGTTATAGGACTAAAGGAAATGGCTTTGAACTAAGAGTAGGCTAAATTAGATATTGGGAAGAAATTCTTTGCTGTGAGAGAGGTGAGATAATGGCACAGGTTGCCCAGAGGACTTAGGGATGCTCCACCCTCCAAAGTGTTCAGGGACAGGTTTGTTGGAGCTCTGAGCAGCCTGGTCTGGTGGAAGGAGTCCCTGGCCTATAGCACAGGGCTTGGAACTAAATGATGATCTTTAAGATCCTTTCCAACCCAAACCATTCTGTGAGTCTGTGATCTCTGTATTTATCTTATATATTTTTATTGCAGAAGGGTGGTGATGATGACAGTGGCCAGATTTCATGATCTCTGGGGGGCTGTCAGAGTTCCTGAGTACCATGTGATCTGTTATGTCACGAAGGGTGGCAGTGGCACACTTACCCAGGTCCTGTTCACAAAGCATGTGAGCAGCCTGGTGGAAGGCATGTGAGGGATGCAAAGTTCTGTTACATTCCTGACTCCTTTCAGCCGGGTTCAATTGCTTTGTGGTTCTCTTCCCTGACAGGTCTTGGCTCGTGGGCAGCTCTTTAGCAATCCCAACTGGAACCTCACACCAAAAGGCACCATGATTATGATGACTGATGTCACTGCAGCCCCCAGATTGGGGTCAACTGCCACCACTCCAGCTGTGGCTCCTAACTTCTCCTGGATGCCAGAGGATGGCAGCCCCACGGCTGTGGAGCAGCCAATATTCCTCATGACCACTGCTGCTCAGGCTATCTCAGGTTTCTTTGTATGGACAGCTTTGCTCATCACCTGCCATCAGGTAAAGCCCTGTCACTTGTACTTCTCATCCTTTCCTTCTCCCCACATGAAGAACAGACCATTTCCATAGTGTGAATGGAGAGGAAGCACACTCTTTAAAACTAGCAGGTGTAAAACATTTGGCCATCCTTCGGAGGTTTGCAGAAAGGTGTGTTATCTCAGGTCATCCTTTCACAGTTCTTTAGCTGAATATTGTCTTTTTTTTTATTGTGTCAGCTGTTGGCTGAAAGATTCTAGTCACCTGTTGTTTGACATTCTTCCTTTGATCTCCTTTGCCAGTGAATTCCACAGGCTGAACTCTGCTGCGGAAAGGAGTAGCAGGAAATGTTTCATTTTAATTTTTCCCCCTCCTCTCTCTCTGGGGCAGGTGTCCTGGGAGCCTGAATAAGTCAAACCCTGCATCCTGTTCTGTACCTCTCTTTCATGCAGTTGTCATGTGAACTGAAAAATACAGTGGGGAAACACAAGCCCTGTTATTTATCAACCCATGTTTTTATACCTGTTGGATTGTGGATTCCAGAGTGATGACTAGAATGTAGAAAAGTACAGCCTATTGATGGAGTACAGGGGCTAGTGAAGGTAAAAAATGGATTAGTCACAGATGAATAAGAGCAGCACCTGCAGTTTCACCAGCTTGGGTAACAATTACAAGTGCCATGGATCCTCCTGTCAAATTGATCACCTGCTGAGGGTAGGAAGAAATTTTCCTCTGCAGTATAACATTGCACAGTGAGGCATTAATGGCCTTCTCTGAAGAAACCCATGGAGGTCAGTGAGAGACAGAGACACTGTTGATTGAAACACGCTGTTGTCCTCTTGCACGGCAGCAGTTCCTGTGCTCTCCTAGGCACACGGATCACTGGGCTCTTCTGACATCCCAAGGGCAAAGCTTGGAGTCATCTGAACTCTGGTGTCAGCTGTCTCTGTGCTGGATGAGATGTGTCACTGGGATTGTCGCAAGGCAAAAATATCTCTGAGGTTTGTTAGCTTATTTTCAACCTGTTCTCCTCAGGAAATGAGCTTTTTGTGAGCTCCTCATGGGTTAAGAAGAGGAAACAGAAGTATTTTTGAGCCCTTCAGTCGGTTTTGACCAGGGAGAAACAAGCAACAGACCGCTGGGGAGGCACAAGCCCCTCTCCCTTACAGTGGAAAGATGAGAGCGTATATTTTTTCAGTCTCTGGAGAGTCCTCACAGCACCCCAAAATGCAGGGTGAAGCTTCAAACAAATGCTTGTACCTCTTCAGGCAGCAGAATCAGTCTCTGGTGAGGCACATTTGTAATCAGCTGGCTGTTACTAATTCCAGCAGCTGGGACAGCAGCTCAGTGAGAATTGCTGTACAGAAACCCTGCCTCTCCTGACTCCGTGGTCAAGAGAGCGTACCCACAAATCGTGCTGAGGCTCTGCCTGTGTTATTAGGGCATTGCAGGGGTTGTGCTCATCTTCAGGGTGTGCTTGTGGTCAATACCTTTTTGGGGAGGTGGGCATTCAGTAAAAAAGCATCATAGGTGTGGGATTTAACTATGGCTAAGGAACTGTGAGTGGTGGGAGTGGGAAGGGTGGGGATGCTGTGCTCCCCCCAGCCAGTGACTTAGAGGGATTGGCATGTGTGCAGTCAGACAGAACAAACTGTGTGGTTCCTTTGAGCACACTGCATGAGCTCAGTGCTCCCTTGGTGGCTGGCCCTTTGTGGCTGTGCTGTCACCCATGGGCAGAATAACACCTTTTGAGCAGATGGGCCATGGCTTATCAGCTTTGGGATGTGCTGTGAAGGGCTCTCTTAGGTTGTTTCAGGTGAAAGTCTCAAAAGCGTCCAAAAGAGCCAAAAGAGTGAGTGTTCACAACGAGCATGAGCTTAAGTGTGCACACCTTCCCTTTTCAGAGAAAAACAGTGTTATGAATCTTAGGTACTTGAAAGAGGATAGCAGGAATGTAGAACTGATGACTGGAAAAAAGGTATGAACAAAAAGAATGTGGGCAAGGTGATGTAAAAATAATTCAGTTCCCTATAAGAAACTAGATTAGAAATGCCTCCGTTTTCTCTTCCCTCTCCTTCCCCCTGTCTGCAAACCAAGGGTTGCTCTATCAGTGCCATATGATAACAGCGATTTACCTTTTCTTTTATGTTCATCACCTTGAGGCTGCTGGAGGCAGTCGAGAGGTGATTACTGAGTTTGTTTCTCCTGGCCCAGTTGACTCTCCAGCTGTACTTTGCCCTCTGTGCTCCATATGCTGCTGATCCTGGTCTCCCCTCTCTGTCTCAGATCTACATGCACCTCCGCTGCTACAGCTGCCCCAACGAGCAGCGCTACATCGTTCGCATCCTCTTCATTGTGCCCATTTATGCCTTTGACTCCTGGCTCAGTCTCCTGTTCTTCACCAATGACCAGTACTATGTTTACTTTGGCACAGTGCGGGACTGCTATGAAGGTAAGGAGGGGTCAGACAGAAAATGGGGGGTGGGAAGTCTCTGCCCTGAGAGAACAGCATTTCTGGGGAGAGCATCGCTGTCACCTACTGAATGGTGTGCCTAACGGGATGAGCATTGCTGCTTAGTGACTGAAAATCATAGAATGGTAGGATGGTTTGTCTCAGGGTGGACCTTTGAAGATCATCTCGTGCAGCACCCCTCCCATGGGTTGGGACATCTTTCACTAGATCAGATTGCTCAAAGCCCTGTCCAATTTGACCCTCTCCCTCACTGGCCTCTGAGCGTAAGCCTTCCCTCCAGGGTTCTGTAGAATCTTAAGTTTATGGTTTTCTGGGGTCCTCTCCTTCAGGAACGTAAAAGCTTTTGGTGAAGCCAAAAATTCTGATGGTAGCTGGGTGTTAGGAAGTGAGGTGTTGCTTAGCTCCTGTCTCTTCTAACAGCACTTAGCAGCCAGACACTGCTTTGTCCTGTGTTCCTGGTGCAGCTTGTTAGCAGTGTATTCTTCTGGTCCCATCCTGTGGCCACTTGTGTGCTTGCACAGGGTAGCACAGCGGCCACATGCTGGGGCTGGTGAGGTGTAAAGTGCTTTGGAGTCCTGTAGAAGAGAGGGTTCCATGTTCAGGATGAGCACCTGCTTGGTTTTGGTTATCTGCTGTAGTGATGTAATACCACTAGCACTGTATGTGAGGAAAATGGCTACTTTCCTGTAAATGCTCTTGTAACTTCCCTCCTGGTCTCATCCTGTAAGAATCCTCTACCCACTCAGCAGAAGATACTGCACTCTAGCAGTGTCTTTTTGAGAACAATTTCTCACCATACCCTCATTAAATCCTAAATCATTGGTGCAGTTGTTTTGGTGAGATCTGCATTGCGGAGAGTTGCCCCTGGCCATGTGAGCAAGTCAATCAGCTGAAGAGAGCAGCAGGCCTTCCTTCACATCCACAACAATGCTCTGGATGCAGCAGCAGATGGCAAATGCACGCACACGATGCAAGAAAGCATCTTTGTTTGGGGCCTGGGATTTTCCTTTCCCCGCCCTGTGCGTGTGTATAGGTCTAGCAGGAAGCCTGCTGCTCTCCTAGCAACAGCCTCTATCCCTCTGCCCCTCTTGCTCTGGGAGTCTGCAAGCATTTGAGCATCTGCTCAGGAGGCTGCCTGTGCTCCAGTGTTCACATCTGCATGTTGGCTTGTGTGAGAAAACTACAAGTGGAGGTGAAGACACCTTTGGAAAGCAGGTTCTCTCCCTCACTTTTTCTGGGGATTGCTTCAAAACAGCCTTTTTGTCTCTTGCCATCCACCTTCTTTATTTTTTGAAAGGTTTTACATTGCAAAGTGGGCTATTGGGGACTGAAGGAAGACCCTACTAATAAATTTTGAAAGCTGTCTTAAGCCGTTTGTGGACTGTATTTTGTAGTGTATATTAGGAGGAGTCTGTTCTGGTTTTACTCTTTCATGTCACTGCTTCTGTACCAACCAGGGTGTCAGAAACACTGACACAAGTAGGGTTTCTTTGGGGTTTTTTTTGATGCTGATATCATGAATACCATCTGATGGATGTGGATGAGAATGGGAGAAGAGTTCTTTGCTGGTGTGATGAGCTTTGCTAGCTAGCACTTCTTTTGGGGGTGAATGGGCAGATATTTCTCCCTTTTGTTTTGTTTTGTTTTCTTCCTCTGATGTCATCTTTTCCCTGGTGCTTGGGGAATGGGCAGCTGGTATTGTAATGACCACATCAGAGGGCAGGGGTCACTGGAGGACAATAGGAAAAGCTCAGCTTTTCTTCCTCTGGGTCCTGTCAGCTAAGTTGCAGGAAAATTGAAGGCAAAAGGGGTTACCACAGTTATTTGAATAAGTTTTCTGTGGTTGGTGTTTTCTGTCCTAATTAAAGCTTTGGCAAAGTTATTACTGTGTAAACTTTGTTCAATAATAAGGATTACAGATAGAATAACAATATCCCAATTACATACATAGAAGCATGTATACCACTGGCTTTTATATGCCATAGCAGTCTTGCCAGCTAGACACGTCTACAAGCCATAAGCACAGTGTTTTGAGACTGTAAGTGTTTTGGGGACTGTGGGGTATCTCTTTGCCAGGGCATAGTTTAGATGTTTATAGAAGAATTTGTCTGACTTTGGAAGATCATTCATGTGGAAAAATTGACCTCAGGTCTAATAACTGGCTGCTTGAGGAGATCAGCTTCTCAGTGTTGTACATTATTAAGTTTCTGTTCTTATTTTAAAGTTTCTTGAGATTACTGTTTCTATCCCAGTTATTTGGGGCAAAAAGAAGGATTTGGGTGTTGTCATTCCAGGGAATGCCCAGACACAAAGAAGGGTCATCTGGTCTGTCATTTTGCCCCAGGGCTGTCTATGTCAAATGCAGAAGTACAGTCCATGCCCTAAAAAATCTCACAACTTCGAGGGTCCAACAGGAATTATAACAAGTCAAGAGAGTGGCAGACAGGGTGTATACAAGCTCACTTCATGCACATTTAGGTGAGTTTGGATCCCATGAAAAGGAGATACATCTGTAGTTATGGGGAACTGAAATGGGGCAGAGTGTTAGTGGTCAGTCTGTAACAGGTTTCTGGGGAAGGTGGAAAAGAGGTGGCCTAAGGAGTTTATTCAACACATAAGAAATTTCATCTTTTTGAGAGCATGAAGCACAGAGTCTGTTTTGCAAAAGTCCCCACAGGACATGAAAACAGAGTTTCACTGATTGTTATAAACTCTCTGTTTCTCCAACTCTTATGTCTATAGTCTGGTTACCTGGCACAGACAAACTTTGTTCATCAGCTAAAAGGTTAAATACAGGAGATAACAAATGGCTGATGAATCAGAGATACCTTTTCCAGATTATTTAGTACTAGTGTAATGTCCTGGAATAATGCACAGGAGCCCTGTAAAGAATGGCATCTTACAGATGCCACATAAAACAGAGACTGACCACAGTTTTAAATGGTTTTGTGACCCTTTTGGCATGAGTCATGGAACTGGCCTGGGACCTTGGCCAAAGTCCCATTCAGATAGTCTTGTGAGTGCTGAGGTAGGATGATAAATGCAGTGAAAATCTGGAGTGCTTTGAAGAGAAAGGTGCTGCATAAGCAGTCCCTGCTAATGTTTGGTCTATTGCTTGTACTTTTGGTCCTTGCACCTGTTTTGAAGTTGGTTGTCATTTTACTGTGATTGATGTCTTTGCAGCCTTTGTAATATACAACTTTCTCAGCCTCTGCTATGAGTACTTGGGAGGGGAGAGCTCCATCATGTCTGAGATCAGAGGGAAACCAATTGAGTGAGTATTTATTGTGCTTACAGCATGACGCTGTCCTCCTTCTTTGCCCATCTACTATTTCTCTATCCCTGTCCTAAAAAACTGTGTCAGGTGGCAAATGTCTGCTGGAGCTGGGCAGTGTGAATGATGATGATGATTTACCAGTACCTTGCTCTGAGACAGATCAGGCTGATCACATCCTCTTAGGCAAGCTGGACTGATTCACAGTTTTTCTGGACACCTGCCTCTTTATTTGTTTATTGTCTTATTCCCTTCTCTTCCTTTAAATCTTTTCTGTCTTCAGTTGATTGTGTGTGTCTCCTCTAGGATCTATATTTCTCCCCATGCTATTCAGTGACTGGAAAAAAAATTGCAGTGTATAGTCAGGATGTTGTTTTAGACACATCTCTAGAAGAGGGCATGGCCATAACTGCAGTCACTGTTGGAGAAAGCACCAGTCCTGCAACTTTGCTACAGAGAGGAAGATGAAGAGAGTAGGAATCTTGCACTCTTGCCCAAATTTTGCTTGTGAACTCTGTCATCTTGTGTTGGTTCTTTCAGGTCCAGCTGTGTGTATGGGACTTGCTGCCTGTGGGGAAAGACATATTCAATTGGATTCCTGAGATTCTGCAAACAGGTATGGGCTGGGACATTCTGCAGAAATTAAGGGTGTGGGGGTGGCAATGGTGCTTTTTGCTGCTGAATTTCTGAGATCTTTGCAGGGGGAGGCCCTAATAGTATTTTGAGAGGCCTGCAGACTGCTGAGAAGAGAAGCTGTTGCAGGGCTGGTTTGGTGTTAAGAATGATTAAAATATGCTAAGAATGATTTTAACATATTCTTCTCAACCCCACATCAGGAAGGCCTTATTTAAGACACGAGTTATCTCCTGGAACTGTTGTTAATCCTAGGAAGAAACTCTTTTCCTTTCTGGATTACAGAGGTCCCAGCTCCAAGAAATTGCTGTCTGTGTTGTGTCGCAGACACCCCACAGTTGTGTAAGAGCCTCCTGAATTCCCAGTGCTGCTGCTGTGGTTTGGAGCTGAGGAGGGGTGGAGGTTAAGCATGACACATTGGTTTGTAGGAGGAACCGAGTATTGCTCACCATGTGTGTCTGTCTGTGCTGAACTGGGCATGTTGAGGGCAGCTGAATGGGGGAGGCCTAAACCTCTGTGCAGCCCTTGTCTGCTCACTGCAGGTCAGCCACCTCTGCCTGCCATGAAACAGCAGGTGAATTTCAAGGCTTTGCTCACTTGCTGAAGTGGACACGGGAGGTTTCTATGGAGCCAGTGTGAAGCAGGTCTGGTTCTTTGAAAGGGCTCACAGGTCATTGTAATTTCAGTTAGCAGGTCTAGATATCTGCCCTGCCTTCTCCTGAACATCATGGCCCATCTTGTGTGTTTTAGCAATATGCAGGAACATTAAAAGTACAGTGCAGCCTCATGGTCATATCCAGTGTTAAGCTGTGCTGCCCAAGTGGCCATTTTCAAAGGACCACGTCTTTTCTATTTGTCTGCCCCATATTTCGTCCTTACAGCTTTTCTGTTTTCTTGCCTCATACTTTTCTTTTCTAGTCTGAACCCAATATGTTGTTTCAGCTGTTTCTCGTGGGTTTCATCTGGGCACCCTTTGGTTGATTCACTGCATTACCTATTCTTATTTCTCCTAATGTTATTTTTTACCTTTTAAGTATATTGTAAGCAGATGTAGCACCCATGAAAGTGAATGAATGCTGGTGAAATAATTTCCCTTAGACTTCTTGCTTCTCATGTCCCACAGCCTCTTGCAGTTGTCACCACCTGGGTTGCACATGTCTGTGTTTGGAAAGTTTGTTCACAACAGTGAAGACTAGAAGCACACCTTGGGGTGTGGGGAAGGTGTGTTTTTTCTGCTGGCCTCCACAAATTCCAGCTCATTTTTTGGTAGATATTTTACTTTCCTTTTGCTGATATCTGGCAGCAATTTTTCTGTTCATGCCTACTCTTTCCTAACTGCTAAGTCTGCTGTGGAGGTTGTGAGGGAGGTGTATTGCAAAGAGATGCTTAAATAGTTCCGTCCTTCTTGGCTTGAACTTAATTATTGTCTTGATGAGAAATTGTTGATGCCGAGAGTCACTTTCTGGTACTTCTAGAGTTTCAGGATTTTTGGGGAAGACCTTTCAAGGTAAATTCCTGGGAAGGCTGGTGCAAAAGGGCAACAGAACAAATTCCAGTGCTGACCTGTGCAGTATCCACCATGATGATGATCAGGAAGAGGAGTGTGCTGAAAGGAGCACTTTGCCCTTTTTAGCCCTGTTCTTAGTATCTCCAGCACTTCTGTTACCTCCCATCACCACCTGCCCATTTTCTGCTCTTTCTGGTCCCTTTCATCCTGAAGGAACCTGTGTGTTATAAAATGTTTTTCTTACCACCTTCACACTGTTCTCCCCCAAGTTTTCTCAGGCAGGTGGTCTGTCAGTCTGCCTGTGTTGCCTGTGGACCTCCAGCAGTGTGGTGGTGTGCTGCTGTCTGTGGTGTGAAATATAAACAGCTCTTTTCCTTAAAGATGTCTTGATCAAGATTCTTTGCTGGGCCTCTGTCTGATGACCCTCACACATGGGTCACACACCATCCATGTGCTTCCCATATGCTGCAGCAGCTTCTAGGGAAGCAGCCAAAAATAGTACGTGGTGGTTTGGATTGCAGGGAAATGGTTAAAATGTCCCCAGATCGGAAGGAGGGGAAGCTCAGAGGATGGAGTTGTTTACCAATTAGCTTGACCTTTTCCAGTTCACATATTTAAAGTGACTCACTAACTGGCATGTGCTGGGGTTTTTAATCTCCTTGAAGTCTTATGACCACTAACAAATTGCATCGTATCCAAAGCAATTATTACTGTTTGGTTTTACCTTCTTTCCATACATAGCCCTCCCCACATGCACATGGGTCAGCACCTACCCAGGCTCTTCCAGCCTCTTCAGGGAGACACACGTCACATCTCTTCAGGGAGACATTTTTAGGACCATAAGTGTTTCCTTTTTCTAGGACTTTGAAGTTCAACATCTGCAGAAAGTTGAGGAATGCGGTGGCTTTGAGACAACACTCAGTCCCAATAGGAGCAGTAGTTTATATGGGCAGAATGGATAGAACTGATCCCAAGTGCCACGGAATCTTTGGGGAGATTCAGTAAAGGTCATGTGGATGACAACAGAATAGCTCTTAACTTGTGTGTGGCAACACACATTGCTGTGTTTACAAAATGCCTGAATATTGTGTTGGTTGTCAAAAGTTCTTCCTCCTCCAGCAGTGGGGTTCCCCTCTAATCCAGGGGACTTTTTGCTAACTTTGTGACAGCTATGGACTGGGGTTTGCTTTCCTTCCCCAGTATGTCTCTCTTAAACTTGCTGTGTCTGCCATAGCACAGTGTGAGATTTTTCAGTTTTCATACTGTTAAGTGCATAAATGTGCTGCAGCACAGCCCTTGAAAAGTAGCTCTGGAAGAGTGGGGCTGAGCAGCTTCTAGGAACAACCCTACAGAGAGGTTTTTCTTCCCATTCTGGACAAGTAGATAGCACATGTACATCTTCTGAAACTCCTTCATCTCCTTGTGGGTGCTGCAGTCCCCAAGCACAATAAATTAGGAAGTGGCAGGATCAGACATCTTGTTGGGGCTGGATTGTGTTGCCTTGCTGAGTGGTCCCAGTGGACACTCCATTGTGATGCTGTTGGCAGCTTGTCCTCTGGCAGCACCTGCCTTCTCATTCCTTCCCTCTCATTCCTGTAGGCTACCCTGCAGTTCTGTGTGGTGAAGCCCCTCATGGCCATCAGCACAGTCATCCTTCAGGCCTTCGGCAAGTACCAGGATGGTGACTTTGAGTAAGTTTATTCATTTAGCATGCAAGATTTGGCTGCCCTTTCTCTGCCTGGCTTTGCTTATTGTCTGTGTGTGTGCTGGGAAAAGATGGGAGTACACAGGTTGATGTGCATGAGAAAAGAAGGCAGAGGTAGCCATCTTTTAGTTTCATGTTTATTTTACCTTGGTTTGAGGGTGGGAATGGGACAGGGAGGCAGGAAGGAAATGGACTCCTGGAACTTTCCATTGGCAGTGGCAAGGGGCAAACACGCTGAAGTTTCAGGCATTCATATGTATCTTCTCTTTTCAGTGTAACCAGTGGCTACCTCTATGTGACGATCATCTACAACATCTCTGTCAGCCTGGCACTGTATGCCCTCTTCCTTTTCTACTTCGCCACACGTGAGCTGCTCAGTCCCTATAGCCCAGTCCTCAAGTTCTTCATGGTGAAGTCTGTCATCTTCCTGTCCTTCTGGCAAGGTGAGCTACTGTTCCCTTCCCTTGATAGGCACAAAGAGCTCTCTTTGAGCAGGGGCTCAGACACAAGAGTTGATAGAGCAGATGTTGATTAATAGACAAAATGTCATTCTGTATTCCATTTGGTTTATAGTCATTCATTGTTTTTCTCTGGGAAAGCTGTTTTGCTCGGTTTAATTTTTGTTTATATGCTTCTGAATCATTATCCCTGTGTGTGTGCACAAGAACATGTATTTGGCAAAATCAGCTGATAGGGTGAAGAGTTCTCTGCATTCCTGAAATAATCATAAAGCACAAGCTGCCAACATTTTGTCTGCATGCTGCCATTTTATTGATTAAAGTGACACATCTAAAAAGTTTTAGTGCTTTTTTTAGTGCTCTATAAATAAAATTTTAGTGGTATGTCTGTGGTGTATGTGAAGGAGCAAGCTGGGTGGATGCAGTGTGTACTGCCACAGAACTCTGCTGGGAGGAAGACACTCAGAATTCATACACATGAAGCAGAGGCACAGTCGGAAAGTTGAAATTCCACCTAAGCTTAGTGCTTCTGACTAATTGGCTCTAAGCATTTCCCTGTTCAATGCCCTACTTAGGTTTACTGAGTTGCACTTCAAAGACTAATTGAGTAGGAACTTAGGTGGAATTCAGGCTGTCAGTATAGCCCATCCTCCCTGTTTACAGACAAACTAATAAGCTGTCTGGTTTATCATCTTGAGGCATCTGGTCACACACTTTGTCTTCTCTGAAATTCTTCAGCCACTGAGCTGTGGACAGGGAGAAACCTCTTTCTTACAGTGGTGTGTCAAAACCACTAATGTGCTTATATGAAAAGTTCTGTTACTTCAGTTTTTGTTCTAGCTAGTGCAAAAGCTGATGTGCAAAATGTGGAATATGTCAAAATTTTCTTAAGAGAGGATGTTGTTTGGTGTTTGATCTTTGTATGCTTTCAACTCTGATCAACAAGAAAAGAGGTTTAATCTGTGAAACAGGAGCTAACAGACAAGCTCTGAGTGATGTTCAGGTGTTAGAAAGACAAATTATTTGACAGTAGAACTGCCTTGTTAGGGTTTAGGGATCAACATTTTTCAGTGAGCTCAGGGGAGGTTACCAAAGCTTGGGAAGGTGGATGTGCCACAGATAGTGGACACGAAAAATACAGAATTTACAAGCCACAAAGACATTTGGCAGAGCCCCCAAGGTAAGGAAGAAACGAATAAAGGCAGCTCAGCAACTGTGCTGGATCAGCTGCAGTGGAGGAAAAGGTAATTCTGGCAGGGGAGATCATGGCCACTGACCCAAGAATCCACCGAGTGAGACTGAGCATGCAGACTAATTAGCATGAGCAGGGAGAGGTTCGTTAACCAATAGAAGACAGAATACTAATTAAAAAGAGAATTAGGTAATTTTTAGCCAAGGAACATAAGTGGCTTTGTTTGGTAAAATGTATAAATAGGAAAAAGCTTTGGTAGTCATCATGCTGGCTCTGTGGATTTGCCAGCCAGCACCCCTTTCTATGCAGAACTGTAAATAAGCCAAATACCTTGACTCTTTGTGTGAATTGGCCTCTTGCACACTGTGTGAAAGAACCTATTTTGGGACAACACTGAGATCACAGGATTGCTTACAGAAATATCTGACTCCTCTTACCCTTTTAGACTTAATCAAGTCCTACAGCTGTTAGTGTGTCAGTTGAGGATAGAAGAGGATCAGTGTTTGAACATTCTTTGCCTAAATGTATTTGTCTGATTTTATTCTTCCTTTCTCTGTTGTACAAGTGACCATGGGTGTGTGTTTGTAGCCCACTCTGTTTGTAGCTCCTGTGGTGAGTGGGCTTGTGTCTAGGACATAGAGCACAAACAGCTATTTCCATTCTTTGCAGTTACTGTGAGACCATGTTTTCTGCACATTTACATGAACTTATTACTTTGTTTAGGGATGCTGTTGGCCATCTTGGAAAAGTGTGGTGCCATCCCCAAAATCCACTCTGCTAATGTGTCTGTGGGTGAAGGCACAGTGGCTGCTGGCTATCAAGACTTCATCATTTGTGTGGAGATGTTCTTTGCAGCCATTGCCCTGCGCCACGCCTTCACATACAAGGTGTATGTGGACAAGAGAATTGATGCCCAAGGTAGGAAGCATGCCAGTGCATATGGCTTTTCTCTTTGGTAGTGAGACTGGGTGGAGACTGGTCCCTCAGGCAGCCAGCACATTGATATGACTCCCAACCTGATATCTTGGAAAACGCCACATCCCCTCCTGTGTGGTGTCTGAACAGATTTATTGTGCAACAGCTCTCCAGGGCAGAAACCTTGCCTGAATTGCACTGTTCCCTTTTCAGTTCCCCAGTATGCCACCCACGACAACTTGTTGCAGACCTGAGGGCTGTAAGATGTTGCATTGTTTCGGTAGAATGGGTTTGTCCTTCTTCCTGTCTCCCCAAAGGGGAACTCCATTGCTCCAGATTGTGCAACAGACTGAAGGCAGCAGGGACAGGGCCTAAAACAGGCTCTGTTTTGAATCTGGCTTGGGAAGATGAGGCTGTGCTTTGGCAATATGTTTGTCACGGAGGAGGAGGATCTTCCTGTAATGACTTTGTGAGGGCTGGGCTGCTATAAGGAAGATTCTTATTCTGGGGAAGAGGAAGATGGATGTTATCTCTGGGAAAAGGGGGTTTTGTGCCTAGTCTATGCAGTGGTTTCCAAATAAAGGGATTCCTTCCTTCTGGGGGAAATCTGTGCTGAGGTGCTGGAACACAACAACCCTTGGGCAGTGTCAGTGTAGGTGACCCTTCCATCCCAGCCAGCCCCAGAGGTTTTGGAAGAACAGTGGGTGCAGTGGGGGGAGATGAGATCTATGGGTGATGAAAGGGTAAACTACTGGTCAGTACAGTGGGGAATGTTTCTGTGGTGGGCCTTGTTCAGTTCTTGTTATTTCCTCTTTCTCTGTCTCTGTCTTTCTCTCCTCTTCCTTTTATCTCTCCCTTGCTTTGGCCACTGGTCCCTGATGCAGCTGTTCCATCATATGGGCCATACGGTAGGTGCAGCATGCTTTGTGTGTTTGTCTCAGTCAGTTTTTAGCTGGGATACTGTTCTCTCCTGATTCCCAGCCTGCCTACAACCTGCCCTGCCCCTTGTTCCCCTTTCCTTGCAAGTCTGTGACTCCAGTGCCTCACACAGCTGCTTTAGGGTTGTCTGGATTACAAGTAGTAAAAGAGCTGTGTGGGCATTAATGCATAGCTTTAGAGCATTTGTGTCAGAGCTCTGGGAATCTCTCTCCAAAGAGTTGTGTGGCTCTCAAAGGAGCTGCTCTCACCCCAGCCTCCCTTCACTTTTATGATTGCCACAGATGATCAGCATACTTTGGTTCTCTAGGGGGCTCATCCCCAGAACTGAGCAGAAGCTCATCCCCAGAAGCCCACACTGGAAATGGAACCTAGAGGCCATGAGACATGGCAGCTCCTAGGAGACACCACTTCCCTCTGTGCTTAGCACTGGGGTGGTACATTCTCCATCTGCTGCTTTCTTCATGGTATCACCATGACACATGGGGTAGTTCTGCCTCTAGTACTGCCTGTTTCCCTCCTTTCCTTACTTTGTGCTGCTTTTTACTCATATGATCTCTTTCCCATGGGCATTTTGATACCACCTTGCAGTCTTAATTTCCAGTGAGTGGAATGGCAAATGCCATTTCTCCTATATTTTAGAATTTACTTAGTTTTTGTCTTCTGAAAGTGTTTAGAGGAGCACCTGACTGTATTCATTGCACACCTAGGCCAGCACCAATAGTGTGTAGTGGAGGATGTCTCTGTGGGTGTATCCGTTCTCATGATATGTCCCCCATTTGGTGCTGTGGTGGATTCACTTGGCTCACAGTGTCTGGGTTTAGAAGCACCACTGGTAAAACTGAACACTATTTGTGTGGCATTTCCTCAGCAGTTGCTTAAGGAAGTCTGTAACCCACCTTGTGCAGGATCTAGGACTGCATGTTCCCTGTTCGCCTTACCTTGCTGTTAAGGGCTGTGGGGCAGGCAGCAGTGTTCTTTACTTGTCCCTTCCTGCCTTACCCAAACAGGTCGCTGTGCTCCCATGAAGAGCATCTCCAGCAGCCTCAAGGAGACCATGAATCCCCATGACATTGTCCAAGATGCGATCCACAACTTCTCTCCAGCCTACCAGCAGTACACGCAGCAGTCGACGCTGGAGCACGGGCCGCCCTGGCGCAACGGCAGCCACGTGATCTCGCGCTCCCACAGCTGCTCCGGGGCCCGTGACAACGAGAAGACCCTCTTGCTGAGCTCTGATGATGAATTCTAGGAGGGGAAACTGCCAGCACAGGCTGTCGTGTTCCTTCTTTTTTTTTTGTTTTTTTAATAATTTATTAATGCAGAAATACACAAGTCATATCACTTCCTAGAGAGTAAAGATTGCAGAAGTGAGCACTTCCCATTAGCTTTTGTGGGTACGGACACAATGAGCAATGTGGAGGTGGCAGAATGGCCAGGACTCCATGCTCGAGCCCATTCCTTATGGCAGCAATCAAACTGAATTGATTCAAGCAAAGCTCCAGGGTTTGGGGCTCTGGCTTCCCACACCTGCCCAGCTTGGTGTGGAGTGTGACTGACTGGAGCCTAGAGTTGTAGCCAAAAATGTTCTTGATTTTTTTCTAACAGGACAACCTGACTGCTTTCTATTTCTTTTCCTGAATGGTTTATTTAGGCACAGTTTTCTCTCCAGCTCCCTGGTACTAACATCTCTGTGATCCTTGGGAAATAGGATGGGGATGCAGCCATAAGCATTCCTGAGGACCACACCAGAGACTGGTCTTTCTAAATAGCCATTGCCCTGAGTGCTAAGTAAGGAACATCTGTCCCTACCCTCCTGAGCACCTGGTTGTGGGTCCTGGAGTCATTGAGGGAGCGAAGAAAGGGGAAAAGGACAGAGCTGTGTGTTCCTGGGCTCCCTGCATCTCAAGTTGCTATAAAAGCTTGTTGAAGCTCAGTGGGGACAGAATTATATTTTCACAAGGGTGGAGTTTTTTAATCACCAGGTGTCCAAGCTTCCCATCTCCCTGGCGTTCCTGTGGCAGGAAGCCTCCCTGGAGCATCTTTCTCCTGCTAACAAGACTGAGGACTGGCTATGGTAGATGGTGAAAGTTTGTAGAGCTCTGGCCCCTTCACCCCTCTTTGGGAAGGGAAGATATGTAAACACAAAATCAGTCTTTCTTCTTGTTTCCTGTCCCCCATCATCACATCTGCCCCTGTAAGAGGTAGGTGCCAGAGCAGGTCCTGGTCTCTCACAGGTAGCTCTTCCCATGCTCATCATCACTGACTTCCTCTGAGCTACAGGAGTTTTACCCTTAGGCTGGAATATTCAGGAAGGAACGTTGCACACTCCTTTGTTTTTTATCTCTGTAGCTATTCTGGGGCAGACTGGAGCAGACTTGAAACCTGACATGACCTGGCTGGTCAAATTTGTCTCTTTTATTTTCTCAGGCAGCAATTGCTGCTGCTGCTGCTGCACATTTCACAGGCTCTGCTGTACCTGCAGTGCTATAAAGGGTGGAACCAGCGTCCATGAAAGTGGGAGAAGCATCCCCTTGCTTCTGTTGGGTTTTGGATGAACCCATGAGTACTTAGTGGAGCCAAAACAAAAGTGATCCCTCTGTAGATCTATCCAGGGACCATGAAATGCCTCTTGCTTGCTTAAAATTTTCTAGGAGAAAAGTAGGCAGCACACTCAAGTGCTACAGCTCAGATGCTCCTACCTGCAAGCAGGAAACAAAATTGAGAGACTGGAGCAAGCTGCTGTGTTCAGCTGTAGTTTCTCTGTTCCTCTCCTGCTTTATGCCTCCCCTGTCAAGAGCAGACCTGGGTGATTCTGGATTGCTCCTTGCTGTCCTGCCAGGAGAACTGGAGTCTGGTTTGCCACCTGGAGTTTACCTTTCCATTTGTTTCTTGATCCATTTGCTTGTTCATTGAGTGTCTCAGAAGCAACAGTGAGTGAAGAGCACCTCATTTATTCAGCACCTCTGCCCAAGTTGGGCAAAAAGGCTTGAAGAGAGGCAGGTTTGCTCTCTGCTGTGAGCATTAGATAGGGAAAAGCTTAAGGATAGTGCCTCCTCCTGTACTGATGTTTCTGGGAGATAGCGAAGCAGGTGAGAGCAGCAGTACTGTTGAGGGAGCTGGAGGGAGGGTCAGTGGATCCAGCAGCTTCTCTCTGCTGGATTTCCCCATTCACACACATCCTGCAATGCCATGCTGTTGGTTATTAATTTTCCTAAGTTTGTGACTGCTTCATTAGACATGCAAACACATTCTGCCAGGCTTTGTGTGGGCTTGGTGTAAAATTTCCTCATGCATAAGCTGCTGGAAAGCAGGGCTGAAGGTTGAACAGACTTTGCTTCTGTTTTCTATGGTTTTGATTAATATTCCTTTAATGTGAGATACTGATGTTACTCTCTCTCACTTAGGAAAGTGGGACATGAGACATGATCCCATACTCCCCTTTTTTTGCATTTGCAGGCCTTGATGTCCCAGTATCACTTGGTGACTGCCCCCAATCTTTGTTGCATTTGGGTGGCTGGAATCTGTGTGATTGCCCCATTGAGCATGGAGGTGGTCCAGGCTTAGAGAAACATGTCTTAGAACTTATTTTGAAATGTCTCCTGCATACATACATATATATATATGTGTATGTGTGTGTGTATATATATATATGCACTGTGCAGAGGTTCTGGATATTCTTAAAGCATCCTGTGTGTAATGGTTTCAAGTATAATTCTTTTGAACCAGCTGCCTTCAGAGGAGCCTGGTGAGCTAGTACTCACCAGCCCTACTTTATAATTTTATAAATATATATATATGTTTTTTAACACCACACAAAATCATCCATCACTGAGCTTCCTGCTCTTCCTTGTGTCCGGCAAGTGCCAGAGCAAGCACTGGCTCTGAAGCCACTTTGTGTTGGAGGAACAAATATGAGATCCAGAGCTTGAGACCAAAAAGGCCAAGGCATCCATGGTCTTGTTGGTCTGCTCAAGGTAGCCCAGGACCCAGGAAATGTGCCAGTTCCAGGAGCAGACCCTTGGAGCTGCTCTCCCTCACCTGCTTCCGCTCTCCTTCCTTCCTTCCTTTTTTGTTTACTATGTAACATACCCATGGGATTTGTTTATTATTTTTCCATATAGAGTAGTTCTTTGTATATAAATGACTGAAAAAAAAAGTATGATAAATAAGACAGAGTCACCTAGTTTTGTACCTATTGTGTTTAACTGATGTGAGCTCAGCGACAAGCCGCTCTCTATTTTGGTCTTTGTGACGTTATACTCCGCAGAAATGAGCAAATATGATGACAAATAAAAATATAGAGATAATATAGATTGTACTTAAGCTGCCTCTGTGTGGTGCTGTCTGGGTGACTTCTCTGAGTGTTTCCTCCTTGCGTGGACTGAGGCTTGGTGGTCAGAATCTCTTGTGCTCTTCTCAGAAGGGAAGCTCCAGGTGTAGGAGCTGATAGAGAAGCACCCTGGGCTGAGACAGCACTGCTGGCCAAGGCAGGAGTAAAACCCATGAGTCAAAAACCTGGAGTAGAGATGAATCCTTGCTTAGGTGCTCACTGAAACGCTGATGGGAGGGAGGAGGCCCCAGCAACCAACGGCTTTGGGATTTTCTTCCATGAGCAGCGTTTGGGGCTGGGGCCATTTGCAGTGGCGGAGGGAATGGGAATGTCAAACCTCCAAACCATCCTGAGTGCTGCAGCCTGCTGGGACCTGGCCCAGCTGGGAATGTGGAACATGCTCACCACTTCCAGCTCAGTTCTGAGGAAGGGTGGCTTTTCCACACTGGGAGGAGGTCTGACTTCATCTCCTGCTAAGGTGCCTTCCACACTTCTTCCCCATCTCCTGCCCATGAGTGGACAGCTCACTGCTTTTTTCCTTGCTGTTCCCAGGGAAGGTGATAAGGTCACTCAACAGACAAGTTTTTGGGCACAGATGCCCTGCACCTGGTCCAAGGACAGCCTGAAGGGAATTTTTGTAGTGAAAAGCATTATCTTCCCAGGAAAAGCTGATTCAGCACAGCTGCACTGCTCCTGAAAGCGAGTGCTTTGTGGGGTGGTATTCAGCATTACACGTGCTTTTTTAGCCCTTTTCTCTCGGAGCCTATAAATCTCATTTTGTCCTAAAAAGCCATGAGCTATCCCCCATCCCATCTTTTTTGGGCACATTCTTGAGCATGTCCTGCAGCAAAACCCGAGGGAGACAGAAAACCTGGTTTCAGACATGGCTCTGTCCCAAGTTCAAGAATGACCAAACACACTCCCACTGTGGAAAAAAAAAAAAAGAACTTGCTTTATTTGTAAAGTCTACAAAATACAGAGGAGTCAGGTAAGACACATACTGTAAGTCAGAAAATAAATAAGTTTTTTTTTGCTCTATATAAGTATAAGATAAAATGTGATTTGCATATATAAAATATAAAGTACGTCTCTGTACCAACATCCTGGCTGTGCCGAGAGGCGGAATGGCAAAGAGGACGTGAAAATAACTTATGTTCGTGCAATAAATAAACCCAAGAGGAGTCGGGGTGGGGGATGCCAACCACAGTGGCCCATCCAGGAGTGGCAGGCACCTCTAGAGGGAAGAATGGAGGCTGCAGCCGAGGGCGGCTGGCGTGGCAAAACCCGGGCAGGGGCAGAACGGAGGGGCGGGGGAATCATTACAGCAGCAGATCCCGGGACGGACCTGCCTCCTGCTCCCTCCCCTGTGCTGCCTGCATTTAGCCAACCCAGCTCTTCTCCAGCCTTTCAGCCTGCTCAAGAGCCGGTTGTCCCACACCGGTGTCCAAGCTGGAGGAAAACCAAAGGGAGGAGCCTATCTGCCTGCCAGGCAGCTCCAAGGAGCAGGGATGATCTCTGCCCCTACTTCCCACCTCCTGCACCTCCACCCCTCTCTCTGCCTCCACATCTCTGACTCTAAAGGCCGGGAGCACCTTTCCGTGGGCTTTGTAGGTGGTGGGGCACCAGGGAGGGCTTGGTGGGGCCATACAAGCTGGCCTGTGCTGAGCAAAACAGTGTTTATCTCTGCTCCAGCTGCCTCTGCTTCCTTCCTGCCGGTGCTGCTGCACTTCAGACACCCGGCCAGGCTGAGTGTCCCATCAGCAGGAAGGGGCGTGAAGGATGTGCATGACAGAGAAAGATCAAACAGCACCACTGCTTCTCCCTTAGTGGACAGCAGCCTGGGCTGACCCACTCACGTCTCCCAGCTCCCCCCTGCCCAATCACTGTCACCTCTGGGGTTCCCCAGCACCACAAGCTGCCACAGTGCTTTCCCATTCCATTCACCCTTACCAGGCACTAACATGCAGCCACTTCCTCTCCCCCTCTGACCTGCTCACCTTCCCTTGCCATCTGCATCCCCAGAGATTTCAGACATGCTGCCACCTCCCCTCCTGCTCCAGCTGTGGTCCAGGTTGTCTGCCCAATGCCAACACCCTTCTCTCATGCCTTCTTCCCCTACACTGCAAAACCTCTCTCTCCTTTTTTCCCTCTCGGGCACATGCTCCTGGGACTGCCTGGCCCACATATAGCTCTCCCATGCCCTTTCACAAAAAAGAGGCACCTGGCATTTTCCTACCAGCTTGGAGCTGTGGGATGCTTCCCCACTGTGTGGGTTCACTCTCTCCTGTCTGCACACCCAAGAGGGGAGGGGGCTATGGGGGCCACCAGTGAGGTCCTGTCCTCCATCCAAGCACCCACATAGCAGCAGCCCTCCCTGCCTGGGGGAGCTGGAGGTCAAGGAATGGGAGAAAGGGGATTTTGGGCACAGGTCCTGACAGGGAGGAGGTTGGGGAAGGGCTGGGAGGCAATTCACGGGGAAGGCACCCCGGGGCAGACCGTGTCCAGCCGGGGGACGGAGGCCAGCACTAGGAGTAGGCGGCCTGGTTGCTGCCGGACTTGACGATGGTGATGACGCTGGCCGTCGCCACCTTGGCGGGGGGCCCGTGAGTGGCCACGGTGCGGGCGAAGCCCTGCAGGGCCTCGTACTTGCCACGGAGGGTGTCGAGCTCCAGGCGCATGGCAGCGTTCTCCCGGGCCAGCTTGTCCACCTCCCACTCCAGCTCCATCTTCTGCTTCTGCAGCTCTTCCTTCTGGCAGACGCGCTTCACTCGGCAGCTGGCAGCGTAACCCCGGTTCTTCAGCGTCCGGCGGCGCTGCTTCAGCCTCGCCACCTCCTCCTTGGAGAGGCCCCGCAGGTGGTGGTTGAGCTCCCGCACCGACAGCCCCATCAGCTCCTCATCCGACAGCAGCGGAGTGTTCTCCCCCAGCTCCCGCTTCACCTGCCACAGAGAGAGAGAGGGGTGCTTGCCTGGGACCCCCAAAACCAGCCCCCGACTGCCAAGCCCCCGTTCTCACTGGTGCTCACCTTCAAAGCCTTGCTGGAGAGCCCGTCTGCTGCCATCCTTTCCTCGCTCCGGCCCTGCTGAGCAGCCAGGAGAAAAGCCGGTTACTGCCAGCCCCGTGTCCCTCACCTCAGCAGAGAGGACACCGGCCCTGCTGGTCCCCTGCCCACTGCCCACATCCCCCCCACCCCGGGCCGCATGACTCATCCCACTCCTCTTGAAAAGTACATAGTAATAATATTAATAGCAATGATGACTGCAAGCAATAATCATAATGGGGCAGGGATGGACCTCCCGCCCTCCTTCATCCCATCACGAGAGGCTTGGGATGCTGCTCTGCCCAGGGGACCCAAAATGCCCCAGCCGCCGGCTGGGAAGCCAAGCCTTCCCCGCGGGGAGGAAACACAGGCGAGATCCGCCCGGGGCTGGAGGGAAAGTAAAAGCAGCAGCCCCACCGAGTGACACCGTGGCGGAGCCTCCGAGCCGGGACCCGCGGGGAGGAGCCGCCCCACCGGCCGGCGAGAGCACCGCGGGTCCCGGCGCCGGGCTCGCGTGTCCCGGGGCTCCGGGGGCGGCCGAGGGGTCGCGGGCACGAAGCGCAGGCGGGTGGAGCGGCCGCCCCGTGATTCAGCAGCGCAGGGGTGAAAGTCACGGAAGCCGTGCCCGCCCCTCGCCGACCGCCCGGCCCGGGGCTCGGAGGGCTCGGAGGGGGCCGGGACACCGGAGTGCAGCCCAGCAGCCTCTGCCCACCTCGGGGAACGCCGGCCTCGCCAGGAGAGCCCTCGGAGGGACGAGGGGGGCCGGGACGGGGCCGAGAGCGCCCCGAGAGGAGCGAGGGGCTGGAGGGGGGCGGCGGGAAAGGTGGAGCCGGGCCGGCTGGAAGCTGATGCAATCCGGGCCGGGGCTCCGCCGCCGGAGCCGGAGGAGCGGCGGCGGCTCCCTCCAGGGCGGTGGCCGGGAATTGGAAAGCAAGACCCGACGGCGCCGAGCGCGGCTGGCCGGCCGCCCCCCTCGTCCCGTTCCCCCAGCCCTCGTCCCGTTCCCCCAGCCCTAGTCCCGATCCCGATCCCCGCCTTCGGCGGCGGCAGAGAGGCCTCCCGCCGGTGCCGGACCCCGCCGCCCCCCGCTCCCCGCGGCCCCGAGGGGCGAGGCCGAGGCGGGAGCGGAGGGGCCGCCGGCCGGGGCTCACCTGGCGGCTGCGCTGCTCCCGCGGGGCCGCTGCCGGCTCGGGGCGTCGGCGGCGCCTCCACCCTCGCTCCCGCGATTACTCACCCGCGGATTCTTTTCATTCATAAAAACACAGTCATGCGGTGACGTCACCCTCGCCACGCCCCCCCCGCCGCCGCCGCCGCGCGGGGCGGCCGCTGCCCTTAAAGCGCCCGCTGCCCTCAAAGCGCCCCGCGGTGCCCGCACGCTCCGCGCGCTGCCGGCGCGCACCGCACGCCGCGCTGTGAACGCGGCCGCGCTCCAGCAGCGCTGGCCGGAGCTCGGATTCGGGGGTGGCGCACCTCCGGTGACCGGCCCCGCCGGGAGCAGAACGCCCCACCGGAATGGGCCGCTACCGCTTTAAGGAGGGCGGCCCCGCCCGTCGCCCCGCCCCCCGCAAAGATGGCGCCTTCCGCCCTCCTCCCCGGCCGGCGGCGGGTGCGGCTTTAGTCCCGCCCCATGGCCCCGCCCCGGAAGCGGCGCCGCTGATTGGCCCGTGCCGGGGGCGGGGCGGGGCGCGGGGGCCGCTGGGGGCCCGTGGTGCTTTGCCCGGCGCCGTCCCCTCAGCCAGCCCGGCCCGTGCCCGGCCCGTTCCCGGGCCCCGTGCCACCCCCGTGCCACCCCCGTGCGGGGAAGGGCCCGCGGCCGCCCTTCCCTCGGGAGAAGCCCCTGGGGCTCCGGGAAGATGCAGTTTTTTGGGCGGCTGCTGGACACCTTCAGCAGCGTCTCGCAGATATTCGCGAACCCGTACCGCGTGCGGGAGGTGGCGGCCGCCGAGTA